GCACTATATGACCCGGTCTGAGAGAGAGAGGACTGGAACGATCGCTCTCGTCCAGCCGACTGTCTGTTTGCTCTGTGGTGGATTTTGTGTTTATTTGTATTTATGTGTGTGTTTGTGTCCAAAGGACACCGAAGAGCTTTGAATGCAGCGCTGTTACTTTAGCAGAACTTACTCTCTGATGCTGCTGTCAGGTGTTCAGCAGGAGGAGCTCGTTCACCTGGTGGGGCTCATCTGCTTCATGTTGGATGTAAACACCTCTGTTCTGAGCTGCGGCTCTGAGTGCCTTTTGACCTGGTTCTCCAGAAGGTGATTTTTACAGTGTGCAGAAAGCTCAACTCTGTTCCAACACAGATTTAGAGATCTATTTATTTTCTCTCTCTCTGTCTCTAGCGCTTTCCTGTCTCTCTCTCTTTCTCCCTCGCACTGTTTTTTCTGTCTCACTGTCAACATCTCTCCCCCTTTCTCTTTCTCTTCTCTCCCTCTTTGCAATTCAGTTCACCAAATTACATGACAGTTTTGCCAAAACGTGTAACATACATCAGTCTATTGAATAGTTGCACACAAACACACACACACACAATTCACTAAGATAAGCAGTATCCCACTTCTGAAACCAGTGTAGCATGTGCATAAGATGAAGAAGCACAAGGGGCAACCATGCTTCTGCTGCAAGAAGTGTGTATTGAACACACGAGCAGAAAGGGGCACATAGAGAACCCCAAACTTGCGGGGGAAGTCACCTCTAGCTACACACCATTGGTGACCCCCCTCCACACACAAAGCCCACAGCCCCTGACACTAAATAACACACATACTTTGTATACACAACAACTTAAACAAAATAAGTAGTCCCCTTTTAGGAGGACACGTGCATACCATGAGTCTTTGCATGTGGCGTTTTAATAATCTGATTTAATTGTAGAAAATCAGCTTGTGTCAGTAACTGGTTCAGCATATTTACACTTAATAATCTGATAACTGCAGAAAATCAGATTGTGTCAGTAACTAGTTCAGTGTGTTTTTATGCTCTTGAGTAATCAGATAATGAGGAAATTGCGAGTCAGGCAGTATTCGGATTTCTGCTTTACAACCATCCGATAAACTCACAGAATAAGACGTGACGTAAACGTAATGTAAAACAAACTTCATGAGGTGGCTTTTGCTAAAAAAATATGAACATACTTCATCTAGAAAATGAAGAATACTTAAATCCATCATTTCATGAAGCATGCGGTCAGTTTCAGCATCGATTCAAAAGTGTTGTGTAGTGTCTCATGTGGATGCAGTGTTAAGCGCTGCTTGCGTGTTTCCGGAGACGCGCTCTGTTTTTGCACATGCGCACACTGAGAAATCAGAAAGAAATCAGAGTTTACATACACTGAGAAATCTGATTACTGAGCTAAAATCCAGCTCCCTTTATCAGATTTCTGAATAGGATTTCTAGACCTTACTCTGCTCTAAGAAATCAGAGTGTGCTGTTTACACGACCATTTGAATAATCAGGTAACTGCAGAAATCCTATTATGATTGGATTATTGAGTGCATATAAACACACTTACTGTTGGGTACTGCACCTTATATTTTGTTGTATTCCTGTTCAATGACAACTAAAGCATTCTATTCTATTCTATTCTATTCTATTCTATTCTTTTAAAAAAAAAAAACATTGACCAAATCTCACTGATCATATAGGTTATTTACATTACAAGAATTACTAGAAATACATAATTATAGTTTGTTATTTAAAAACATTTCCTTTTTTTACCATGTCACAACTTTTCATTGGGCCTCATTTACCAACCGTTCTTAAGAAGAAATTTCTTCTTAAAACCTACTTACACAGTTTTCGTGAAGATTCTGACATTCACCAGTGTTTTCTTATTTAGGATTTGTTTTTAGGTAAGAACAGAATCTACACACACTCAAGAGCACAAAGGTGAGAACAGTTCTGTGCTTTAAGAACACATCATGAATCTGACGTAGACCTTTTCTTAGGACCTTTCTCAAAATACTTTAAATTGTGAATAAACCATCAGTTTACATTTGAATGTAGATGGACACACGAATCCACCAGCTCCACATGGTGAGAGAGAAATAACGTGTATCTCAGCTCTTCTTCACTGCCTCATAACTCCAAATGTGAGTCACATACAATCTCGAGATAAGATGAAATGGAAAGTGTGACTCTACAGATTCAAGAAATGTTTGAACTGTATTTCTGCTCTGTTTCTATGTCTGTTTCTGTATCACGAAGATACAGACTCCAGAGGGTTTATGTGTAGTTTTTATTTCATTTGTTTCATTTAATTTCAATCTAATTAAATGATATATATAAACATATATAAATGTATATATATATGTATAAATGTATATATATATATGATATATATATATATATATATATATATATATATATATATATATATATATATCTTCCTCCCCAGTGTGTCGAGTAAATGTACAAAAGTGCTTAATTGAATTTACACTACTTACATATATGCATAATTTCCATGTTAATAAATATATCACATGAACACAGTAATCTGAAATATTGATGTGGGAATGATGGACACATTAGAACAGCACTTTTTAAATGTGCATGATCTCCAAAAGTAACAAATTCATGTTTTTAGAACAGAACCGAGCGGGAATCTCCAGACACGGCAGAGCGCCCCGGAGTACAAACTTTAAAAGTTTAAACTAAGAAAACAAGGCCAATATAGACAAACTGCCAAACTCTAAACCACGAACTAAAACTCTAAACCCCAAGCAGGGCTGCAGAGCTGCTGGCGCTGGTGAATATTTTATGACTCGGCTGTTTTTGTGTCAGACTCTTTGCTCTGCAAGGTTTTTTTTTTTATGAATGGAGGACTGAAACCTTTTTAGGGAATAGTAGCTGTCTATATTTGGCTCTGTTGGAAACGGATAGTAGTTGTTGTCTTAAATGCACCTTCTGGAAGAACTTTTGTTCGTTATTGTCACGCAAGGCCGTGACTTCACCTCTTCTTCTTCATCAGCCCTTTTCTCTTACTTCTCCTGATCTTCAAGATAAAAAAACAGCTTCAGTTTTAAAAACTTTCATGTTATTTTGCTCCACAGATTCAGTCAGGCATTAACTCAGGGCCCATATTTTAATCTTTCCCTGAAATCCACATGTATGAAACTGATATATGTAAATGTAAAATGTAAAGATTGGATGTCCTGTCTTGTAAGTATTTCAGACTACAGTGCTCCTTATAAGTTCAGTGTCAATGGGAGGGGCTGAACCCCTGTAGGCTGGGTGGATGAATTTATGTCATTGCAGCGTTTTTTGTGATATCAGAACATCAGGTCATGCAAAGTGGGCTGTTTTTGCAGCTTAGTTTCTATATTTGGACTGTATGGAGTGAGGAGTGAATGATACGATGTGACTTTTGTTTTTAAAAATGAAATGACGTTATAGTGTTCCAGTTTTCCTTGATATGGGCTCTTTGATGACTGTTCTAAAAACATTTATTACAGTTCCACATTTGGCACTCTGGGACTGTTTACAGTGCTATTCATATTAGGATCATGTATAATTATGCTGCTTTCTGTAAGAGTCTTTCACTTGCATTTTTCTGCATTGCTACAGTCACTAGCATATGGATTGTTAACGTACTCAGGACTCAACTGGTTTACACTACAAATACTCCTAAAGACTTGAGGAGAACAGAATGAAATATTTAAAAATACTTTTGTATGATACTAAAACTGAGTGTCATATTCAACATTTATCAGTGTTTGAATGAAAAACAAGATAGAAAACTACTATACAGACTGGCTGTAAACTGTCTGGGTGTGACCTAATATTCTAATGAGGATCCATGATTGACAGCCCTTAGTCCAGCACTTCCAACCTGCTACACACTGTTAGAAATAAAGGTTCTGTGCAGGTATATTTTTGTTTATCAAGGTACAAACAGTGTAAATGTTCCCTCAAGGGTACAACAGTGGTTTTAAGGTTCAACAGTGCACCTTAAATATTTTTTCAAGGTGAAAAGTACATATTTGTACCTTTTAATAATCTAAAAATTTAGAACAGAACAATAATATAAAAAGCCTGGAGACGAGACGGGGTGTGTGGAGTCAGTGCAGCTTAGGAAATATCATTTCAATGGATTATGGTACAATTATGTTTTCTGACTAAAGGTACTGAGATGTACCCTTGAGGGTTCCACCCTAGTGACCTTTATTTCTAAGAGTGCAGCACTGAAGCAGAGCTAAACACAATGGCTGGAAATTAGTGAATTGAGTGAAACAGGCTCTACATACACACTCACTGTGTCCACTCCCTAAAAACATCGTCCAGCTTTTATATGGAGAACCTTAAAAAAGGTTCTTATATACTTTACTGCTGGATCTGCATCCAGGGAATACTGGAGTGGCCAGTTGGCTGAATAGATGAACAGACTAACTAACAAACAAATACGGCAGAGACAGAGACAGACAGGTGAGCTCAGCTATGCTTCCTATGTGAGCTTTTACTTGGTGGTCAGCTTTCTCTTAGTAAGTTTCTCTGTCTCAAACACAGAGAGAACAAACACAGTTTAGTGGGCAGGGAAAATAAGATCAGCGCTGTGATTGGTGTGGATGTTACCCAAGTTTAGGGCTGCCCAGTTTACGCCAAAGGGGAGAAATTTGGTGAAACTGTCTGCCATTTATTGGACACTGGAGCGTTTTGTACTTTACGTTTATGTTTTGTACATACATATTATGGCCCATATAAGCAAGATTAGCCTACTTAGACAGAAAAGACAGTTTTTAAAACGTTACGCCTTCTCTCTTATACTGACTGTTTATTGTTTTGTATTAATTGTTGATCTTAAGTGTTGTAGTATATTGTACTTGTATCTTAAGTGTTTAGTATATTGTACCGTCTTGTTTTATTGCACTGTATGTAGTCTGTCTTGGTCTCTTTAAATGCAGACCCTGAGCTGTATTAGTGTATGTGTCTAATCTGACCTGTGTGTGTCTTGCAGGGTCCCGTAGAGTCTACGTCCGGTCCAGACCTGCAGCAGGCCAGAACCAGACACAGTTTCGTCCAGGAACACTTCCAGGCCCAGTACAGGTCAGAGGCTTTCACACACAACACCCTCCGCCTGTAACACATTAGTTCACAGTGAGGAGAAGTGGTGTTGAGACACTATTGTTTATGTTATTTAATAGACTTTCAGTGAATATAACCAATTATATATTTATCAAATTTGGCCTAACTTAAGGTGCAGCACTAAAACACATGCAATTTGAAACATGAAACTCCACAGTCAATAATAAAAATGACTTTTCATTGTTATTTCTTTTTGTCCACCATATATTTTACAGAGGAGTGAATAGTAAATGAAATGTGTAACTGAAAATACATTATACATAAAGGAATGTTTGGCAAAAAAAATCTAATTTACCCATTTTTCCATTTGCCCTAAAAAAGTCTATCGGACATGTTTGGTGCTTTTTTAGTTTTGCTCTGGAGCTAGTCTATTGTTGCTAACATACACTAGATTTTTCAATTTTGGCACAGTATCAACAATTGCGTCATGGGCCTGATCTGGCCCGCAGGCCTTGTGTTTGACACATGGACTTCATAGGATGCAGTACATAGTGAAGATAGCTCTGGCTGCGCACTGGAATATTTGACTGCAGTTCATGTTGCTCACATACTGCATACAACTTAGTACTCTTGAGCAAAATCAGTACATACAGCAGTATGCAGCAGGCTGTTTGAACACAGCCTGGAATCATGTTAGCTAGCCAGCTAATTGCTGTTGTCTGAACTGTGCCTTGAAATGGTCCCGCAGCTAACGTTTCATATCACACTAACACAAGCTACCTAGCTTTAGCGACAGTATCTCCCTGGGTGACGCTCACTGTAAGGTTGAAGTCACATTTCTGAACCAGCTGCTTTGGGACAGTGACTGTTGTACATGTAAAACTGAACTGAAGTGAATTACAGTAGGTTTGCTTTAGCTGCATGTTCTTCTCTGTTTGTGGTTTGAGTAATTCCTCCTGGATCGCTCGGTTCAGGCCACTAAAGCTCCTTCCACTGCACTCACTGAGACATGAACCATGCAGAACAGCATTCAGTTTTATAACAGCTGCATTTATCTGTCCTTAAAAGCCTCGGCGGACAGCCGCACAGCCGGGCCATTCTCATGACCAAGGCCTGTTGCGCAACATCTTGTTTATCTCTTGAAGATCTAAATTGATTGCTGTTTGTTGCTGTTTTTCTGTTACCGTAATGCAGCGCTGGGCTTTAGCATTAGAAAGCAAAGGATTTGCTGATAAGAGTCTGGTACACCGTGTTGTTGGAGCTGATTTTACTCTGAATAACTGGAGCTAGATGGGTGACAGATTAAAGAAAAAAGCCTAATAAGTGAATGGAGGAACATAAAGGAGTGCTGATGCTTTCAGACAGTTGTAGAGCAGATTTTTAATTAAGCGATTAAAATCATACTATGATAATTTGATGTTTCCGATTTTTACATTTTTACATAAATTGAAAATGCCAGTTACTGTTTCCATCATTTCGATTACAGTAAAATATCTCCTCTTCTTGTAATAAACACTAATGTGGTGCAGACTGAAAGTTTAGAATCTGAACTGTCCACAGTGTCTCCGCTTGTTTCGGTGAGCTGTGAGTCACAAATAATTATACTGATGGATTTATAACAGAAGCTGAAACTGAGAAAATCACTCCTGATTCATTCCTCACTCTTTGGTTCTCTCCACCTTTTCTTTCTTCCATCTCTATCTTTCCTCGTTTGTTCCTTTTTTATCACTTTTTCTTTTCTTGTTCTTTTCATTCCTCAACTAAAATATTTAAACAAAAAAGGCTTTATTACTCTCCGCCTGTGTAAATATTAAAGCGTTCACATCAGCACCTCCAATCTCCCTCTCTCTCTCTCTCTCTCTCTCACCTGGGTTGCAGGTGTGTCAGTGGTTTTGAACTAAATGCATTTTCACTGTTCTACTGTTCAATAATGAAGAACAGCTTCAGAGAGAGAGAGTGAGAGACAGAGACAGAGAGAGAGAGAGAGAGAGAGAGAGAGAGAGAGAGAGAGAGAGAGAGAGAAGAAATAGAGAAAGAGAAAGAAAAGAGAGAGGGGCAAGATAAAGAAAAGAAAAAAACAGAAAAAAGATAAAGAGACAGAAGAAGAGAGGAAATAAATAAAGATGGAGAGAGACAGAGAAAGAAATGTAGAGAGAGAAACAGACAGAGAGAGAAAGAGAGAGAGAGAGGTGGGAAGATAAGGAAAAGAAAGAAAAAGATAGGAGAGAGACATAGAAGGAGAGAGGAAATAGAGAGAGATGAGAGGGAGAGAGGGAGAGACAGAGAAAAGGAGAGAGGAAAGAGAATAGAAAATGAGCTGTAATGAGTGAGGAAATAGACAAAGAAAAAGAAAGTGCAAGAGGGGGAGATAAAGAAAAGAAAGAAACAGAAGAAAGAAAAAGAGGAGAGAAAATCAAGAGAGGAAATCGAGAGAAAAACAGAGACAGAAACAGAGAGAGAGGAGAGAGACAGAGAAAGAGAGAGAGAGATAGAGGAGATAGAGAGAGAAGGATAAAGACAGAGAGAGAGAGAGAGAGAGAGAGAGAGAGAGAGAGAGCGAGAGAGCGAGCTGGTTAAGGTAGAGTGGTTTCTACATGGCTGGCTGGTCATATTTTTATGGAAGAACCAGAATATAAAATCACATTTACATAATCTCACAATTTATTCAGAATGATACAAATACACCACAGCTTCTAATGCAGCAGCGCAGAGTCAGTTTTTAGATATCTAAGGTAAAAACACTGTTACTGACCATCGCTGAGAACTGATGGAGGTGGAGAACTTTAGTGATTCAGTGCTAGAAAAACATGTTTATAAGTGTTTAAGTATGTTTATATATTTAAATTGCAATTTTAATGAGATACATTTATTTAGATTACTACCGGTTTGGAAAAATACATGGTACAGATTATATTGATATTAAGATTCAGAATCTACTATCAGTTATTCAGTATCTACTATGAATTATTTAGTATCTACTATGAATTAATCAGTATCTGCTTTGTATTATTCAATATCTACTGTGAATTATTCAGTGTTGTCTATGAATTGTTCAGTTTTTTCTATGAATTATTCAGTAATTTCTATGAATTATTCAGTATCTACTAGAAATTATTCAGTATCCACTATTTTTCTCTGAATTACTCCTTATTTGAATATGTTAATGAGATTGGTGTGTAACGTGTTGTGATTGTCAGTTTTAGTGTGTAATCTTGTTGTTGTTGTTGTTGTTTTTAGATCGTCACTGACCTGTCCTCACTGCCTTAAACAGAGCAACACCTTCGACCCCTTTCTCTGTATTTCCCTTCCCATACCGCTCCGACAGACACGGTAAGTATGAGTGTGTGTGTGTGTGTGTGTGTGTGTGTGTGTGGGTGGTGTGTGTGTGTGTGTGTGTGTGTGCGTGTGTGTGCATGGGTGTGTGTGTTGAACAGCTATGGACACAGTTCAGGCTTTAAATCAGCTTGGCTACGACTGTTGTTTTCACCACAGTAATGTGTAAAAATCAGAGAACACCCTTCATTTATTTAGCTTCCAGTCAGAATAGCCATCAAGCACAAGTTATTGATTTTTCAGGAGATATTCGTGAGGATATTAGATATTAGATAATCCACTTGCATAAAAATGGAGAAAGATCAATGTGAAAATGCAAGACTTACCAAAACTGGAGTTCAATAACTGATTTAAAACTATGGAAAAATGGGACTCCTAACAACCACCTGGAAGACCAGGTAGACACCAACACTGCCCCCATCAGATAAACAGCGCTTAAAGTTTTCATCTTTGAGAGAGAGGAGAAAATCAAGCTGCTTCAGATCTGGAAACATCCACAGGTGTTTCCGTCCATCCTTCCACTGTGAGAAGACAACTCAGCGCTATGGGTCTGAAAGGATGTGTAGCTGTCAAGAAGCCTCACTGAGAAAATCACAGAGTGTGTTTGGGATTACTGATCGTGAGATGCAGAAAACGCAAAACCAACTTCAGAAGAGGACCTATTATGCTTTTCTGGTTTTCTCTTTTCTTTTGTGTGTTGTATCTTTTTGTGCATGTAAACATTCTGCAAAGTCACAAAGCTCAAAGTTCCCTCAAGAGGGAGAAACTCTCTCCCACAGAAACCACTTTTCTCAGCTGACTGAAACACCTCATTGGAATTCCAGCCCTTTTCCTTTGTTACAAGATGATGCAATCTCGTAACACAGTCCTTACTGCCTGCCTAAAGGCGACCTCAGCACGCCTCACACAGTGCATAGCAGCTACTGGAGGAGGAAGAGTGTGTTCAGTGTTGTAGCCGTTTGGAGAAGACACTGACCGGACTTTCAGAATCAACTCTGGATCAAACTGATATGGCAGAACCGACGCTCCTGGAGAAACAGCCACAGCAGAGTTAACAGCTGCTCAGGAGAGAAGGGTTTCTCTGCAGACTGCAGGACAGGGGCGGAACATGGGGGGGGCGGAACCGCTTTGGAGGCTGACTGATCAGAACAGAGTGAGCGAGCTGACCAATCAGAGCACACTGGGCTTAAAGACGCAGGAGCTCTAACAGAGCGTTTCAGACAGAGCGGAATAAAGATGTACGGTATGAGAAAAAGAACGTGTTTCTGGAACACTGAAGCTGAAAATCTATTCTAGACCCCAAAATAAAACTATGAACATTGAAAATGAGCATAATTAAGACTGAACTTTGGAGGTGTGTCTGCAGATTTCTTTGAGAAACTGAAAGTGAGAATGGAAGCTGTAATAAAGGTAAAGAGTGACAGCTGATGTTAGATTTAGTTGTTGAGGCTTCTGGGTAAATGTATAACTGTTTTGACTGTGAATAAAAACAATTTTGTCCATTATCAGTAGATAACAGTGTGTCAGAAACCACATAAGTCTATTACTTAACACAATCTGAAGCACTTACACATGCAGTTAGCACCATGCTAACTGGTCGGGTATATGCTTCCATTACTTGTTTGCTACATTAGCCTCGTAGCTCTAGTGCTAAAACTAAAGAAGGAAACTTCAGACTCCAAACATGTCTCGGCTGATTGTCTGTGTTTGGTGTAAACTGGAGGGATTTGATGTATTATCACATTAATTGTACTGAAGTGTCATGTTCTGTGTTCAGGGCAGTGAATGTAACCCTGGTGTTCAACAGTAAGTCCCAGCGGTTTGTTCGGGTAGGTCTGGCCGTTCCTCTGCTTGGATCAGTACGCGCGCTCCGAGCACTGCTTGCTCAGGAAGGAAACATCAACACGGAGCAGGTAACTGTAGCTCCTTCTCACCACAAACGTGTGAAGAGTAAGGTTTACACTATGTTTATTTTGCTTATGTTGCAAATGAGACGATTGTTGCTGCTGTGAATAATTGATCAGAAAATGGTTTGAGGGAATAAAATCCTGAGATTTCAAGCTTTCGATCAGTGTATTGCATCACCGCATTGCTGGATGATTTGATGCATAAAAATTCTGTTTTAAAACGGAAGTGATGGTACAGTGATCTAGAAAAGGTTAACCCAGAACCGCAGACACACAAAGTAAATACAGACCATACAAACAGATTATTTTTGGGTGAAATGATGTAGCATGTTATGGCCGGAAACATACTCAACCCAAGTACGGGAACATAAATGACAGCTCTCAGCCAACACAGTGCAAACGCTTGGTCCTTCTGTACAAACCCACCGCGCACTCTCACATTACTGTGGCGGTTAAAACACCCAGTACTGAAGGGGGCGCTAGAGGACAAATCAGAGAGGGATCTACTGTTATTCCAGCCTTGACAGCTAAATGTGCACAGTAGAGGAGAGTGAGCTGCTTTACCTCTTCTGCTGGAATGAAAAGGCCATAAGGGATCATATTTTTTGATCATGTAAGATGTCTTTGTGTGAGATTCAGCTGCTCGTCTGTTAAGGCAGGTGAAAAACCGCACTGGCGGTATGACACCACTTGGACAGGCTTGGCTGTCGTTATAGCACCCCCTGCTGCAACACTCAGAATACAGCTCGTGCATGTATTGTGTTATAAAATGCATCGTGACACATTTTTAAACACAACTACACGCAAAACCTGTGTGCATAGCTCGAAGCATCTGCATTCACAGCCTTGGGTGAAGTATGTTTTGGGCCTATCACAACTGACATTGTAGTTTAGTGTATAAACATGACAACCTTTTTTCGTGACATTAGTTTTTTGTTTTTTACTTTCCCTGCACACACTCTCTCTTCAGCCAGAATTTAATGTCAGAAAAAAATCACCTGACACAGATGTTATGTCAGCTCAACATCCAAACATGGGTAGTAACTAGTTACCTTTAGTCAAGTACATGTACTGCAGTAAAATTCTGATGGATTTGTACTCCTGATGAAAGGGGTCAGGCCAGGAGAGCTGCTAGGCACGGCTCCAAAAACTCTTATTCCCAGAAGCCCTAGCGCTAACGCTGCATAAAAACTTGCACAAACTGCAGCTCAGCATTATACCTTTGTAGAGGGGTAACCAGTTTGGTACTTTAGCTCAGAAGACAGAAATAAGAAGAAAGTATAAAGAAAAAGCACTGAAGCAACAGAAAAGAAAAAAAGAAACGAAGAAGAATTTAAAGGGGAAAAGGTTGAATAGAGATCCAAAAGAAACGATAACATCAAGGGAGTTTGGTGAGCTGGACTGTGGAAAGTTCAGGTCTCACACTTGGTTCTGTATTAGAGTCTTATAAGAACGAGCTGTGCACTTTTCACATTCTAAACTTGTTTTTATAAGACTGATGTAGAACCAAGTTTGAGAGCTGCTGGACGCAGCCCTCCTGGCATTGTGGCCTGACCCCTTACACCTGAGTATTTTCAAATCACAATACTTTTACTTCTACTCAACTTTATTAGTGAGTAAAATGTACTTAGTCACGTTAGCCAATCATATTTACTTACTAATTACTTTTTTGTGTTTGATTTCATTCTGTTTTGCTGGTGACACCATATGTCCTACTGATTGGTCACATCTCTGACTTTAGAGCTTTAGAATTTTATTCTAGACCAGAACAGAGTGGAACAGTCTTCAGTTAATGTGCTGAGAGACTGCAGTTCTATGAGTAACTCAGTACACTCTTGAAAAGATGGTTCTTCAATGGTTCTTTATTAAAGAAATGGTTCTATAAAGAACAATGGACACTCAAAGAACCCTATGAATCATGAAAGGGTTCTTCAGAATGTGCTGTAGATGGTTCTATATAGAATCTTTTTGAAAAGGGTTCTATTTAGCAGCCAAAAGGGCCCTGTTATTGTTACACTCGTAACAGTGACAAATGGCGCCTACTAGAATAAGCTTTTATAAATTATTGTATAAGTTTATGTAAACTGACATGTTGAGCTTATATAGTCTGATTAACACTGACCTACAGCAACGTGTTACTGTAAAGTGTGCTGCCCCCTAGCATTACCACCATGGCCCACGCCAGTCAGCAGTTATTTTTTATTTCATTGAGTTATTTATTTTTTAATGGCAACTTATCATTAAAATATGTAGACAGCAAAAGCAATATTATTGTTGTGATGACTGCCAGCAACCCCCTAGAAGTTGAACAGAGGTCAGACCAAGAGATGGGACGGAGGAACCGGGTGGAGAAGGGGTGTGAAAACTTTGTCACGTGAAGCAAAAGGTTCAAATTGCATTTTACAGGTAATCTGTAATTTATCTCTCTTTTAGGTGATTTTGGTGGAACTGTACTCTGACGGCTTCCAGCGTTCGTTCTCTGATGATGACGACTTGACCAGCATCTCTGACAGTGATGTCATCTACGCCTTTCAGGCCCCTCCCCCATTCTCCAAAGGCAGCTCTTCACGATACTCAGGTAACCAGGACTGTTCCTACATCACCATGATAACACCAGAGTGGGGCAAAATGATCACATTGAATTATCAGTCTACTCAGGCTTTAGCAGAGCTCAGTAACACTGAGATTAACAACTAATCACATTGATTTATCAGTCTACTCAGAGCTCAGCACCATCTACAGCACATTCTTCATCAATCGGAAGAACCTTTTCATCATGCAAAGAACCCTTTAGTCATGCAAAGGGTTTTTTTTATAGTTTTCATGGTTCTAAATGTTACCATTTATTATACTAAAGAATCCTCGAGGAACCACTTTTTGTTGGTAACACCTCATCAAAAAACTTCAGTCCTGCTCTGAATTCAATAAAAGAATATTTAAAATGCACAAATATCATCACTGCGGGAGAAGACACAGTGCAGAATGAGCCATGACGCATTCGCAGTTTCTAAATCAGACTGCAGTTACGCACCTTTAGAATATTTCTTGTGGGAGAGAACTTAATTAATTAACGCCGTCACCTCTTCATCACCAAACTTTTATGTTCTCTTTTGTTTGATCTTGTTTAAAAGTCAGCAAGCGCGTCTGAGTGCAGTTTGCGGTCGTCTGTGCAGCCTGAGTAAATCAAACGTGAATTTCAGACGCTGTGAGCGCATATTGCGGTCGTGTCCAGACACATTTTGTACTGCGTCTGCACTCGTACGAACGTCTGGCTCACAAAGTGAAGTTAGTAATGTAGTTCGTTCAAGGTAACCAGACGGCACAATGTTTTCAATATGATTTTATTTTTACATTTTACACTGTAAACAAATGCAGCTGGACTTCCACAACAGGCAAACAGGCCATCTCTCTCTCTATCTCTCTCTCTCTCTCTGTAGCTCTGTCTGTCTCTCTGTATCTCTCCATCTCTCTTTCTGACTACAGAAGGTGAGTTAATTATGCATAAAGTGCTCAGAGCGGTTATGAAATATTAAAGCAGTTGATGGATCCTGATCTATGACAGTGAAAGATCTTTATTATGGCACTTAAGCTTTTCACAGTAAAAATACTGACCCGACATTAAGTGGCTGGACATGCTGGTTTTAGTCAGGTGGCTCAAGAGTTTTGAGAACACTTTTTAAAAATACTTTTATTAAGCATATAAGTGCAGTCATTATAAATGTGCTTTTACACCAGCTGTACTGAACTGAGCACTTGGTAAACGTCCAGCGTTTCCTCTGAAATGAAGGGTGTTAATAGTGAGTTTGTGCTGCAGTAAGCACCTCTACTCTTCTGGAAAGGCTTCTAGATGTTCGAACATTGCTGTGAGGATTTGATTGAGCATTAGTGAGGTCAGGTAGAGATGTTGGATGGTCAGTTCTGGATCATGCCAACTCATCCCAAAGATACTGGATGGTCTACAGCCCAGTCCTTGGGGGCTTTATACCCCTCTAGCCCTCAAACACTCAAAGAACCCTTTGCATGAATAAGGTGTTCGTTGCATCGTAAGATGGTTCTTCAGGTTGATGGAGAATGTGCAGGAGATGGTTCTAAATGGAACCTTTTTGAAAAGGATCCTGAATAGCACTAAAAAGGGTTCTTCTGTTATTTTGATGTCAAGCTTGTAACAATTGAAGAACCCTTTTTGGTACCGTACAGAACCATTTTCAAAAAGGTTCTATATAAAACCATCTACGGCAAATTCTAGATCAATCTGAAGAATGCTTTCACGATGCAAAGAACCTTCTATTCGTGCAAAGGGTTCTTTGAGTGTTCATAGTTCTATATAGAATTTCATTTTCTTTGGTCTTTCAGATCGATGGAGGATGTGTTGATTCTAAATAGCACCAAAAAGGGTTCTGCTATTGTTTTGACGTCAAGCTTGCAACAGTCAAAGAACCCTTTTTGGTGATATATTGAATCATTTTCAAAAAAGGTTCTATATAGGACCATATGCAACACATTCTTCATCAATCTGAAGAACGATTTCACCATGCAGAGAGCCATTTAAACATAGAATAGATCTACACAGAACTCATGGTTCTAATTAGAACTATTGCCTCTACTAAAGAACACTTCAAGAGAACCTTCTTTGTGTAGTGTATACATTAACCTCTGACTTCAGACACAGACTCTGTTGTCTCTGTTGATCGACTGTGTTTGGGTTAAAGATGGGCAGAACTCTGTAACTTTGGGTTTTGGGTGAACTGTCTCTTTAATGCGACTCTGGGTGTCGTAGTCGTTCTGGGCAGCAGTTGTGGCTCCCTGTGTGACAGGTGACCTCTGTCTGAAACCTGCAGCCTCCACCCATCTGCGGCCCAGTAGCATGCCTGACTTGTGGGGATCATTGTGTGTGTGTGTGTGTGTGTGTGAGAGAGAGAGAGAGAGAGAGAGAGAGAGAGAGAGAGAGAGAGTAAGAGAGTAGAATGGAAAGTTTCCAGATTTTATGTGCTTGTTTTCCTGTACTCCTGGGGACTGTTAGCCCAGTCCACAGTTCTGTGGAATTGTGGGGGTTATTGTTTCTGAGTGTTTTTCTGTGTGTGTGTGTATGTTGTGAGAGAGAAAGAGAGAAAGTCGAGAGAGAGAGGGAGAGAGAGAGAGAGAGAGAGAGAGAGAGAGAGAGAGGACAGACTACAGAAATAGAACTGCAGGTATGTGAGTGGAATCGGAAGTTTCAAGTTACCTGCATTGTGTGTTTTGTTTTACTACACTCCTGGGGCACAGGCAACAAAGGGTGACCTTAGGACTTGTGGGAGTAAGTGTGTGTGTGTGTGTGTGTGTGTGTGTGTGTGTGTGGGTGTGGGTGTGTGTGTGTGTGGAAGAAAGAGATAAAGAGAAAAAGAAAGAGGGGAATGTCTAGAGAGAGTAAAATAGGAATAGTTTCCAGTGACCTGTATTATTTATGTTTGTTTTACTACACTCCTGGGGACTTCCGTCTGTAGCACATTGCTTTGGACAGGAGCAAACACACACACACACATGCACTTAAAACCCACACTCTGGTCCACAGGTCCCTGGTTGTTGACTGCGCTAACAGACTGTCCACAGGAGTGTAGTTAAACGAACACAATCTCACACACACACCTTGACTCTGATACCTAGATCATATCACCACAGTGTCCAGAGTGTCAGTGAGAGGAAGACGTTCCCGCCATGTGTTGTCTTTGACGCAGGGGTGTGTGTGTGTGTGTGTGTGTGTGTGTGTGTGTCTGTTGCTGTGTCGGTTATTAATGTCTCAGCAGGACCAAACGGCCACCTTCAACTGGATTCTGAGATGATCACTCAGTAACGGTTGCCAAGGAAACACACTGCCCCTGTCTGTCCTGCGTGCACACACACACACACACACACACACACACACACACACACACACACACACAGAGTCTGGAGTTTTAGAGCATTGTTCTTTTGTTTTAATTGTGTTTTTGTGTGTGTATTTGCAGGACCTGCCTTGTGTTTCCCACAGGCCTGGAGGGATTATTTTTTTAATAATATTTAATATTTGTTATTGTATATTCAGACTAATTATGACATTGGTTATATATTCAGTTGTTCTAATAAGGCATCAAATAAATGAACGCTGTTAAAGGGAAATTCCACTGATTTCTCAAAATTCCTTTGTAATTAAACGGTTAAGATGTAAACAGAGTCGTTGAGAGTGGTTTGGTGTAAAATGCTCTGTTAAAGTTAAAGTTAAAATTCATTCATGGTGGAGGGATACATAATACACAGGGTGCTGTGAAGCAAAATAGTCCCCCAAGAAACATGAGTAGGTTCACTGGTGGTTTTGGATAGTAAATAAAATGTCTATATTTGTGTTGTAGTCATGGTGACCCCTGGTTCCTATCACCACCACTGTAAAGAAATCTGAACCATTTCACACCAAACCACTCTGAATCACTCTGTTTACATCTCATGCACTGAGTTAAGCAGGAATTTTGAAAAATCAGTGGAATTCTCCTTTAAAAGTATATACAGGGTTTTCAAACAGTCATGTTAATCAGAAAATACTTTTTAAAAAAGGCCTTTTAAATGATGTTTATTGTAATCAGTTGTTTGTTTATAAAGCACTGAAGGAACTGTTGGGTTTCTCTTGTACAGTCAGTACAGATTTTAGAGATTAATGTAGGAGTAATAAGTAATGACAGTAACTCCGTCACAGTTTCAGAGTAAGTAATTAGTCATTTGCAATGAATTACTTTTTTGAGTAACTAGTTTTTTTCCTATGCCCTTCTTCTCTTCCAGGGTTCCATCACTCTCTCCCCTCCTCCCCGTACATCACCGGGCCCGAAGGTCAAAGGTCACTGGCTTCTTGCACTTCATCGTCTGAGTTTCTGAACCAAAGTGGATCCTCCAAAATCATCCTGCTCATCTGTAACACAGCGGGAAGCGGACAGCAGGCAGCCAGGTCAGTATTTACCGTTTTATTACCTGTATGTTCAGTTTCATTAGTAACAACACAGAGAATCTGATCTGAGGCGACACTCAGGATGCAGAATACAGGGGACACCTAACTAACCTTGAACCCCCTGAAAATAAAAAAAAAAATCAAAACTATGGCATGTCCCTGAAAATATGCTATAATTATATACAGTTTATGCAAAATATTAACTTATTATGACATCATGTTGTCTGTAGAGAAAAATAGACAGACTCAGTGAAGCTCATTGTTTATCTGCTTCACCCACAATCAGCTTCTGTCTTTGGTGTTCTTAACTAACTAGTTGGTCCTTCATAGCCTAGAAACTGTAACCATTTACAAAGGGATACTGCTACTGAGTGCTGATTGGTTAGCATTGCTGCTACTGAGTGGTTAGCATCAATGCTACTGAGTGCTGATTGGCTAGCATTGCTGCTACTGAGTGCTGATTGGTTAGCATTGCTTCTACTGGGTGCTGATTGTTAGCATCAATGCTACTGAGTGCTGATTGGCTAGCATTGCTGCTACTGAGTGCTTATTGGCTAGCATGGCTGCTGCTGAGTGCTGATTGGTTAGCATCAATGCTACTGAGTGCTGATTGGCTAGAATTGCTGCTACTGAGTGCTGATTGGCTAGCATTGCTGCTACTGAGTGCTGATTGGTTAGCATTACTGCTCCATAACTTTTTACAAAAGCTTAATAGGAACCAATTAATTTTGGGCTTGCTCAGGACCGCCTTCTATCACCTGTAGAAGAGATTACTGAGTGGCACTAGAATGTGCTTGTGTCCTTATTTTTGTAGCGTGGAAGGGATCACATGACAGCTTTCTTATAAAACACCTGAAAACATTCACATAAACACAGGAAGACTGTACAGATTGATCAGATTATAGATGTTTATATTTGGGATTAAAGTAGGATTACTGTTTTAAGAGGGAGTGAATTGAACATAAAACATGAATTGGATTTGATACTATGCTTTAAAATCTCTCTCTCTCTCTCTCTCTCCCTCTCTCCTCTCTCTCAGGTTTGGGCCTCCGTTCCTTGTGGTTGAGGAGCGGAGCGTGTCGTGGGCGGAGCTTCGGCAGACCATTCTTAGCAAACTTTATAACCTGATGCTTAACAGCACACAAGCGCAGGTAATGCACACCCGCACACAGTCACGCACGTCTCTTCAAGGCTTTTCAGCTATTAAATTAGTTTCTTGTTTACATTATACATTCGTAAAGCAGCACTATGTAATATTTTGTGTTAAAACTGAAAGAAGCAGCTTTACTGAGCATTGATAAAAGAACACACTAAAATATGGCGAGTATGTGCTGCTGCAAGCCCCCCTGTAAAGCCTGAAATAATCATTTAAAAGTCAGAGGCGTCGGGTTGGGAGTTTTTCACACTACATTGTACGTCTTTACGTATTAACATCACACACAGCCTCAAAAAGAAGATCCGGCTCAATGTTTAGATTCCAAATGATCTCAAAATCAACAGTATACTGATGAAGATGTGATGACAACAGTAGATAATTCACTCACATCCTGAGACTGAGTTCTCTTTGAATTCTCTCTCGACTCACTCACAAAAGTCAGATTCATCTGCTTGTGGGGGTCCGAAGCACAACCCGTGATACGAAGTGTTCTTCTGCACATTGCGTGCAATTACTTATTTCCACCAGTGAGGTCTCCAAATCCCCAAATCCTACATAGTGTTGCTTTAATTTAAAGAACTGTAAGCTATTGGACACCAGAGGGTAATACAGAGTTATTAGCCTACACAGAAAATGCTGCAAGGTATTGCAAGCATAGCTAATAAACATTAACTAATTAAACATCTTCATATTCAGTTATCACTGCTACATGTTATTGTAAGTAGCCTTTTAGGCCAATTTTTAACAGCTACCTTTAAACGATAAATACATGTAAAAATGTCCCATTTGTACCAGAAGTGGTCTTTGTTTATTTTTTGCTGTGCATGTTTGTGTGTGAAAATATTTTTTGAAGAAATCCTTTAAAATTCAAATAACATTTTTTGCCTGAACTGCCAACCCCTTTTCCTGGCCAGCCTGGGTGCAGCGCCCCTGCTGTTCCAGACCTGGCATGGCTGTAAAGCCCATTTCTTTGAGCTGAATCTTTAAAAACGCAGAATAAATGAATCATTAGTGCAGAATAGAGCACCGCTGCTGGAGAAAGCGGAGCCGATCTTTCACTGTAAGCCTCCAGAACGCGGCTGACTCCTCAAACAAAAGGTTGTCGTTCTCATCTGCTGGTTAAATTTTTATATTAGCTGTTTAATTTATTTCTCTTTATGCTCCACTGCCATTCCATTTTCTCTAGCGACATCTTAAATTGTTCCTTCAGCTGCCTGATTCTGCACAATGAGCTGAACTTCCAGTCTCCAGCAGAAAAAGGGATTCTTGTGTGAATGTGCTGCCTTTAGAGAACCGTCTGCATTTGAGATAAAAACAATGAGCCTCAGAACAGAGGCAGCACTTAATGAAGCTCAATCCAGCATCTGATGGCTTGATAAATGCTCTCTTTTATATTACACAACAACTAAACTGTGTATATATAGCTACACTCTTAAAAAAGAAGGTCCTTTAGTAAAGACAGTGGTTCTGTTTAGAACCACAGGTTATATATAGAAGCATTTGCATGACTAAATGGTTCTCTGTATGGGGAAATCGTTCTTCAGATTGATGGAGAATGTGTTGTTTTTGAAAATGGTTCTATATAGCACCAAAAAAAGGGTTCTGCTTTTGTGACAATGTCAAGGTTGTAACATAAGAAGAACTCTTTTTGGTGCTATATAGAACCATTTTCGAAAAGGTTCTATATAAAACTATATACAACACATTCTCCATCAATCTGAAGAACGATTTCACCATGTAAAGAACCATTTAAGCATGCAAATGGTTCTTTGAGTGTTCATAATTCTAAACAGAACCACTGTCTTTAGTGAAGAACCTTTGAAGAACCATCTTTTTTAAGGGAGCAGGAGTGATTCCTTTTGCTGGGTAAATGCAAAAAATTCCAGTCTTACACACTTTATAAAGATGGTTCTTCAGGGGTTATTTACTAAATAATGGTTCTAAATAGAACCATGAGCCCTCAAAGAGCCCTTTGTATGATTAAAGCGTTCTTTGCATCATTAAATAGTTCTTCTGATTGATGAGAAGTATGTTAATACGGTTCTATATATAATCTTTCTGTTTCTATTCAGGTTCTATATAGCACCAAAAAGGGATCTTCTATTGTTACAGGCTTGACATCATTACAATAGAAGAACCCTTTTTGTGCTATATAGAACCCTCCTCAAAAAAATGCTATATTTAATTGTCTAAGACACATTCTACATCACTCTGAAGAACCAGTTAATGATGGAAAGAACTCTTTAATCATTCAAAGGGTTCTATGAGTGTTCATGGTTCTATATAGAACCATTTTCTTTACTAAAGAACACTTTAAAAGGTCTTTTTTTAAGTGTGTATATTGATGTTAACGTTGTGTAAAACCTACATGGTGTTATCACATGATGTAACAGGCTCTTCCAAGAGTTATTACTCACAAAATACAATAAAAGATGTGTAATATTCTCATCTCTCTTATCTTGATTTATTGTGTGTGTGTGTGTGTGTGTGTGTGTGTGCTCTTTCAGAATGCGGGTGTGTTATTCCGGATCCGTGTGGTGGGCGGATCCGCGTCCTGCAGTTATCTCTCTCCTCAGGACAGCCGGCCTTTATTACATCCAGCAGTGGACAGGTGAGTGGAGCTCATCGCCTTAAACTGCAGGCCTATTATTTAGTTGCAATTATTCTGTGTAGGTTAATGTGACGAAAACAATTATCATAATTTAAGTAAAACACCTATTTCCCAAGCTGCCTTTGTCTTTTACAGTGGACCCAAAGTTTTATTACACACTTCTATAACCTAAGACAGGGGTCAGGAACATGTGGCTCCAGAACTGCTTGCAGCTCTTTCGCTGCCCTGTTGTGGCTCCACTGCAGAATTATATTAAAAATAATTCTCCTTTGCAGTAAAATAAAGCTCTGCTGATCGCTCTAACACAGTTTTAACAGTAAATGGTCTTAAACGCTGGAGTGCAGAACTGCTAATTCAGTATTTAACCCTGAAGATCAGTGCAGACTGTTGGTCACCATAGCAACGCAGACAACAATCTTACCTAGCTAATAGCTAAAGAAAGAGATTTTGAAACGACTTGTTAGCATTTATAATCAGTCCAGCTGGTTTCCTAAATGTTTAATCTGCAACGAGAAACTGTCAAACGCTAAAAAGTTGCGAAGCTGAAGTCAGTTTCTCATTCGGTAGCTGCTTCTTCGAATTTTCCCGTTCCACCTTAAATGGTGCAGCAGTTTCATTCTGGCGCCTCATGCACCATTTAAGGTGGAACGGGACAATTCGAACAAGAAGCTGGAGAACGAGAAGCTGATTCATAAAAAAATGAATGTTGAGATATTTTACAAGAAACTGTTCTACTTTTGTGAAAAAGTTTCCTGCCAGAAATGTAAGAAATGCAGCTATAGCTGAGCTAAAGCTTAAAACAGAGCAAAGTAAGTCTGTTTTTTGTTTATATTATATTTTTAGCCTATACTAGTACATTAGCATATAATGAGACATATTTACAGCCCAGATGGTAGAACAGTCATAAAATGTTGTGACGCCCAAAGTGGTTTCATTTTTGTTGAAAGGACAAAACAACTCTTCTTAACGTTTGGGTTACGGCCCCTGCCCTAAGAATAGCTCAGCCAGTCTGCTTGAAGTCCCTGTAGTTACTGAATAATAAGCCTTAGTGTGTAATAAATCTGTAATTTTAAGGGGTTCAACTTTGTTAATGTGCTTTTAAGACTTTTATATGTAAACAAGCTCTGTTCTGATTGGCTGTTCTGTATTGTGTAGTGAACTGTATTGACATTGCTAGGTTGTTGCTAAGTGGTTGCTATGGTGTTCAGTGTAGTTGCTTGAGTGTAGCTGGGCGGTTGTTATGTTATTCCAGGTTGTTGCTAAGGTGTTTTGGGCAATTGTTTTGTTGTTGTGTAATCTTAGGTGGTTGCTAGGAGGGGTTATGGGGTACTGTTAGGCAGTAACTATGGTATTTCCCATGATTGCTAGGGTATTGCTAGGTGGTTACTTTGGTGTTGCAGGTGGTTGCCAGAGTCATAGTCATAGTCATAGTACTAGAATCTACTCTGAATTATTTAGTACGTACTACTGACTTGCTTTGGTGTCCCAGGTGGTTGCTAGGATCAGTCTCTGTAGTAAATCATTCAGTATCTACTATAAATTAGTGGGTATCTCCAACGAATTATTCAGTAACTACTTTGAAACTAATGTGTAAGTTCTGAGTGAGGAATCAAAGCATAGACCTTTAGATTTTGAGGGATTAATCAAGCCTGAACTTTTGATCTGAACCAAATAGAACTAGAAATATAATCCAAATGAATGTTTGCTTTATTTGCTTTATTGACATGACAAAATTGCTATTGTTACTGCTGCATTTCAGATGATTTCCAGAAGTCTATCATACTTCCTTTTGGCCACACTGGACTGAATCGTTACTGTACACATTAACTGTAGAAGTAAAAGAGCCAGTCTGACTGGCACCATATGCAAAAAAGAACCTGTCCTTCTCCAACTTTGTGGTTTTTCAATTCAGTAAAAGAAAACAACTTTGGCTTGTATGTGAAGCACACTGCCCTCCCCCGAGTGGACGGCTGAGTTCATAGCTGTAGCTCTGTTTGTCCAAGCAATGATTTCATGTGCCTGTTTGCTGTGAAAGCATCTGAGTGTGCTGACAAAGCTTTTTGGATTTCTGCCACATTCAGCATTATTATTCCAGCACTGTCACTGCAGCTCAGTTATTACTGTGTACAGAGGCCTGTTACTGTGTAATTAGGGGTTACCTCAATGTAATTATGAACAGCTTAGTGGCTGCTTGTTTGTCACAGTCACTATGCATTTTGGCATAAATACTGTTTGCCTGTCTGAGCTAAGAAAATGAGCTCCGTGCTGGGGCCCAGGATTTGAATGAGCTCTGTGCTGGGGCCCATAGTTTGAATAAGGTCTGTGATGGGGCCCAGTGTTTGAATGAGCTCTGTGCTGGGGCTCAAAGTGTGCATGAGCTCTGTGCTGGGGCCTAGTGTTTGAGCTCTGTGCTGGGGCCCAGTGTGGAAATGAGCTCTGTGCTAGGGCCTAGTGCTTTAGTGAGCTCCGCGCTAGGGCCTAGTGCGGGTATGAGCGCTATGCTAGGGCCTGGTGCTTCACTGACCTCCGTGCAAAGGCCCAGTGTAAAAATGAGCTCCGTGCTGGGGACCATTGTGGGATTGAGCTCCGTGCTGGGGCCCAGTGTATGAGTGAACTCTGTACTAGGTCTCAGAGCTTCAATGAGCTCCATGCTAGGCTTAGTGTGGAAGGGAGCTCTGTGCTGTGTCCCAGTGTGGAAATTAGCTCAGTGCTGGGGTCCAGTGTGGAAATGATCTCCATGCTGGGCCTAGGGTGGAAATGAGGTCCGTACTGGGGCCCAGTGTGGAAATGAGCTCTATGCTGGGGCCCACTGTGGAAATGGGCTCTGTACTGGGACCCAGTGTGGAAATGAGCTCTGTGCTGGGGACTCAGTGTGGAAATAAGGTTCGTGCTGGGGCCCTGTGTAGAAATGAGGTCCGTGCTGGGGCCCAGCATGAGGTCTAAGCTGGGGCCCACTGTGGAAATGAGCTCTGTACTGGGCCCAGTGTAGAAACGAGCTCTGTGCTGGGGCTCAGTGTAGAAATGAGCTCTGTGCTGGGGCCTAGTGCTTCACTGAGCTTCGTGCTAGGGCTCAGTGTAGAAATGAGCTCCGTTCTGGGGCCTAGTGTGGAGATGAGTTTCGTGCTGGGTTCCAGTGTGGAAATGACCTCCGTGCTGGGGCCCAATGTGGAGATGAGCTCTGTGTTGGGGCCCAGTGTGAAAATCAGCTCCGTACTGGGGCTCAGTGTGAAAATGAGCTCTGCACTTAGACCCAGTTTTTAAATATGAAGGTAACTGGGTTTCTGCTGAACATAATCAAATGCTTTCTTAGGCATGTGATTTGTTTCAGCTGTTTTCCATAGTTTTGTCTCTCTAGACGTCCAAATATCTTCAGCTTTCATTCCTCTCATTAGTCACGGGGGGCTTTTTCTTGCTTTGCAACTAAAACTGTGCGTGTATGTGGACCCTGTTGTGTACTGAAGTCTCAAATGCAGAATTCTTGTCTGTCTCTGATCACAGCCATACCAAACTACCAATGATAACGGTATAGGCACCAAAGCTGTAATTATTATTTCTAAAATAAATACTGTCTTTAGATTTGAAACTGCACAAGGTGGGAGAGATGGACTTTGTGAGGCAGCGGCTCATTCAGCCTTTTCTTTCTCTGTTGGCAGCAGTTCTGTAAATGTGAGCTGTTTCAGGAATAATCTTCTGGTCTCAGCAAGTTGCAGCAGTGAACAATCAATTAGTTATGACTTTTCAGTGTATTTTGAGTTTAAAAATACTTTCATTTTAAACCATTTCAAAACTTTTCTGCACTGGTTAGGTACCACAGTACACCGTCAGATGCAGTGGTGTTAGAAACCATAGTATCTAATCATTGCACAGATACCACAGTACATTACAGAATTGACTTCAAAGCATTATTATTTGTCTATAAATCACTAAATGGTTTAGGACCTACACATATCATCTCCTGAGAACTATAAATAGCAAAACTGACATGTGGAACACGTCTCTTTCATACATGAAAATTACAGCCACTTCAGATTTATTTCAAATGTACAATATCAAAATTCTATCAGATTTATATATGTGTTTTTTGGAACAGATCAAATTCAGATAGAACCTTATAATCCTAAGAACTCACTTTCTGCTTGGAGTTATAAGGTTCTATCTGACAAAACATGAAAAGAAGGAACAATTTTCAAAGAACACCAACAGTTTATACTCATAATTTATTTTAAAACATAAAATTAGTGTAACAAACTGTCTACATGTATCAGAAAGTCAAATTTAATGACATTTTATCATATTTTATCATTTATTTATTTTTTATGACTTTTTCTATTTCTGTAAAAATCCTGCTTTTATCTATTACTTATTAATAATGTTGTTGTATTTATTACTGCTCTATTATATTGCATTTTGTCTTATCATATTGCACATTATCTTCTTTTTTTTAATGACTTTTGTTTTAATTTAACTTTAATATTTTCTCTTAATCAGTTATCTTTCATATTTATCATTTTATGTATACAGCCCCTCTTGAGCCCTGTGTGTGAAATGTGCTGTATAAATAAACTTTGCCTGTTGCTCATTAAAAGTTTGGGGGGCATCTAATTTTATCTAATCATAACATTCTTTATATAAATCAGCCTGTTTTAGTCCATTTATGACATCCTAACACATTTAGACTAGTGTGCCTGGACTTTAAGCCTAATCAGGTTTAATTAGGGGAAGTGAGTCTCACATGTATAAATATTTGTGCCAGTATTAATGACAGTGCTACACTGTGAATAGAGCCATAGACCACGCTGACTTTACTGCCTTGCACTCAAACCTTTCAAGTGTTTGAACCAGCTAAGGACCCAAAGGGCTTCAGTATGAGCTTTTAACAACAGTTTAGGAAATAAAACTGTCAAATCATTATTTAAAACCTGCTCTTTATAACAAGGAAGACACTTTAATGAACATGAGGCTGATAAATAAACACAAAACATCATCACAGAGCTGATTAATGACAAACTAAACCTGTACCGGAGGTTTTTGTTCTTAACTGTAAAATAACAGCGAAAAAATTCAAATTTCAGAGATCACTGTATGACATGGGAGGTTTATCTCTGATCAGAGGGAGACATCTTGTGGACAGCTGGAGAACACACACTTTAAGTTTGAGTGGAGATTTGATGTTTGAAGAGTTTATATATATGATAATGTGGTTTCTAATACTGTATGACACACAGTATCTATAAACATAGATTGAAGTGGCTCCAGTTTTGCTGACGTTCCTGTTTTTAGCTGTGCTAATGTACTTTGGTCCATGTTTATAGGTAACAGTGAGTCAAACAGTGTCAGATACCACATAATCAAGTCTGTTAGAGATACTGAACAGCACCACATGCTTTAAGCACTACCAGCAGTGCATCTCCAGAGAATAAGAAGACTGAATTGCTGTGATTTCTTCCTCCAGAGCGTTAAAGCTGTGTGGTCCCGGAGGCCCCCCGCACATGAAACTTGTCATCGAGTGGGAAACAAAACTCAAAGAATGGTGAGGTGTAGTGAGAGCTTTTTATGAAAGTTTTTTTTATATCTGACACCTTTGTTTTTTTATTTCTGGAGTTTAGATTAGGGTTAGATTTGGGTTATGTTTAGGAATACAGAATATATACAGATTTAGGAACATATATATTGACCTGGAAAAAAAGTCCATCCAAGGTTCCATTGACTTACATTAAAAGTAAAGTAAGTTTTTTCCTTCTCCGGTAAAGTTATCATTTTGGAGATACAAGTTTTTCTTCTGACAAAAGCGATATATATATGTACTTACATTTATGTTCAATACATAGGACGCATATTATTTTTACATATAGGTACATTCATTCATGTAACACATATAGGGCAAATAATTACTACATACATTCACATATTCACATATCTAATATGTGTGAGTCCATATCTTTACATGGTATAAAACCAAGCCCTGTGTGTGTGTGTGTGTGTGTGTGTGTGTGTGTGTGTGTGTGTGTGTCTGTGCAGTTTGTTTGGCAGTATTCAGGAGGAGTGTGTGAAGGATGCTGAAAGTGTTCGTGAGCAGCAGCAGAATCACCTGCAGCAGCACAGCTGCACACTGGACGACTGTTTTCAGCTTTACACCAAAGAGGAGCAGGTACACGCACTGCTGTCGTTTCACCTGTTTAGTACTCAAAGTAAAATACTCATCCTCAGGCAGGCCTGAGCCCAGTGACGGTTAATCGAGTGAAAGTGGTAACAGCAGCCCAGTGACGATATAGACTCATTTACTGCCAGTGTAATGAAAATACACTGTCAAAAGTTTATGTGAAATTCTCGAAGGGTCAGCTTTTCACAAGTAGAACTGTAGATGTTAAAAGTTGACCCTGAAAATAGTTGATACTTTACAGATGTGTTTTTCATTTTCACCTATTGTTACGTCTCAGCGTTCGGCCTAGCGCCCTGCTGGGTACTTTAGTTAGGTGAACTGACAAAGCCTTTTTAAAAGTGAAGGATTAGGTCATGAGGATGACCACAGGGATAAGGAGTGATGTTTCACGTTAACAACACTGTATTAAAGCTTTCACAGTATGTACACTTTAAAAAAATATTGGAATTTGTTCAAATGGAACTGGACATTGTTAAAATGGGACAAAATAAATTTAGGTGGCCATCAATATATTTCTTTTGGTAGGAGGAAACACTGCAGTAGGCGTGCAGTAGTTTTCACTGTGAGACCTGTGAAGAGCACTCCAATGTGGCCTAAAGGTTAAAACCCTTTAGGGTCTACGGTCATTTTCTGGATTTGTTCAGATCTTCTTAAATTCTCCTTTAAAGGCTCTTCATTAATATGATACTCATATGTTTCATATCAAAATGCTCCGTTATCTTCATCACTACTTTCCAAAACCACTGCAGCAACTTCAGCAGCTGTAAACTCTCTGCAGCCATTTCACATGTGTCTCTGATGTGGACTGAATGAAGAATGAAGGGTTTCCGGCGTGATGGTCAGTCCTTAGTGATTTCCTGAGTGTCCATTTGTCAGTTTCACACAGAATGTAGATGGACACACGAATCCACCAGTTCCACATGGTGAGAGGCAGATGACGTGTATCTCAGCTCCTCTTCACAGCCTCATAACTCCGAATGTGAGTCACGTACGATCTTGTGATAAGATAGAATAGAAAGGGCGACTCTACAGATTCAGGAAATGTTTGAACTGTTTCTGTGCTGGATTATCACAAAGATACACAAACACATATAGAAACATCGAATTTGATGGGTGAGTTTGTAGACCCCAGAGGGCCACATGCACGGTCATGCGCATTTGCCGATTAAGTCAGCCATAGAGTACAAGTTATTCATTCTTGAGGAGGTATTTGTGAGGACATTAGTTATAAGATTGTATAAGGAAGGACAAAGATAAAACTGGAGTTCAAAAACTGATTAAAGGCTACAGAGAAAATGTGACTCCAAACAACCACCTGGAAGACCTGGTAGACACTAAACCTGCCCCAATCAGATAAACAGAACGAGAGGAAAAAATCAAGCTGCTTCAGACAGGTGTTTCTGTCCATCCTTCCACTGTGAGAAGACAACTCAGCACTATGGGTCTGAAAGGATGTGTAGCTGTCAAGAAGCCTCACTGAGAAATCTTTATATATATATGCACATTTTTAGCAAAAACTACCATTTTACCATTTTGAGCAATTTCCTCTGAATTTGAGCTCTTACTGTTATTCTGACTCAAATGTTCCCCAAATCTAAAATTAGCTGTTATTGATTCCGGTCTAAATGCAGACTTTATCAGAAACTGCCACGCTGTCTCTGACACCTGCAGTAGTGGGTTTGTGGATTTGCACTCCAGCGTTCATACCACTGCTTTCTATTCACACCTCTAATGTGGTTTAAGAAGTTAATAAATGTCAGCACATTTTCTTAAAGGGGCCACAGCACTGACAGCAGGACGACCAAGTTGATTTGACAAGGTTTTGCAAACATTCAGATGAGAAAGTATTTATCCTTGTAATTTTTTCTAAAACTTAGAAATAATATATTACTAATACATAAATAAGTAAATTGGTTTAAAAAAAATATTTGTATAGACCTATCCATACGTTACCATTTAGCTCAAAGCGTTTTACAGAGAAAGAAACAAATTCAAACACAGCATTTGAGAACAACTACAAATAAAGAATCAAACAAGGACAAATAAAAGCTTACAATAAACATTTATTTTAAAAAATGGGAGTAATAATATGTAAATTGATGTTCAGCAAAATAGTTTTAAAAAGCAAAACTGAAGGTCTGTTTTAAACTTCTTTAAACTTGAGATGTCCAAATGTATTCAGTGAGTGAATGCAGCAATTTTAAGGTCACCTATTGCTACTACAGGTGTTCACTTTGTATAATCTCCATAGAAAAACATTGACCAATAGAATGGGACGCTCTGGAGCCCAGTGGACTAGAGGTGTTGAGTGATGGAGCTCCCTCCAATACCTTTGGGATGAGTTAGAGTGATCCAGAACTGATCACCTGACCTCTACTAATGCCCTTGATTTTTGAAGAAATGCTGCTGTCTGCAAACTTTTGATCACAAACGTCATAAAAATTGAATTACAGAAGTCTCTGTGAAGTGATTGTGAAAATCTCAAGTATTGTGATGGTTGTTGTTTTTGCCATATTCGCCATCCTCAGTACAAAACTGGATGGCACACAATTTTTGGGAAGAGCAGCAAGAACAGCCATCTATCCTCGTCAGGTGAATCATGGTCTCTTCTTCTTTGATGAATTTGCTGTTGAGAATGACACACCTGAAGGGCGCCCAGCTCAAGTCGATGTTGGTGACGGTCAGTTTGCTAGACATTTTCAACAGTTTGTCCTCTCTCTCTGTGATCTCCAGTGTGGTGCTCTTTGTCCAGTTGGTGTTGGTGCTGTCAAACCAGTGAATTGCTCCTGCTGGATAGCCACCACTAGCGTTGCAGTAAAGGTCAGCAGGGCCACCATCTAAAATCTTTACTGGCCATGTGCTGATGGATGGCGGGTTGTATTTGGCTAAACAGAGAAAAAACACAAATTTTAAATTGGCCCCATTGTTTGTGCCAAAGTGTTGCTGTAGGATATAGACAGAATAGCATACACTGCTAACTGCTAAGCACTTTAATGGAACAAGGTTAAAGACTGGCCTGCATTATTTTGACCAAAATTATTTACCGTTATGTGAATGCTTTGATTGATCATAACCCGTTTTTAACCCAAGACATCTGTGATATCAGTATTACAAACAATTAAAAAAAAGACATATGCAGTCCTTGTTAAAATGCAGTGTTTTTAGAGTTCAACATGAAAAAGAATGTGGATATTTTTTATTTCGCAAATCACAAAAGGATTCAGTTGTCAAGTCAAACAAAAACAGAAAGTGACTCTGAGCTTGAATGCTGAACAGAGGGCATTTTCCACTCAGCCCTCAACCCTTACTGATGTGTCCCAAATAAACGAGATGAAATAAAGACCAACAAGGCCAACTCTCACCTGTAACGCTGATCCTGAATGTTTCTTCTATAATGCCACGATTGGTTACAACAGTGTAATCATACAGGCCTTCATCAGAGACAGCAGTGTTACTGAGCAGTAAAGATGGATCATTTATAGAAAGAAGTTTAAATCGATCATCTCCGTAAACTGTATTATTCTTAAACCATAACAGTGGTTCTGTTTCTCCTCTCTTAGTTACAGACACTGCAGAAATAATAATTTTCTGATCTGCTCCAAAATTTGTCTTGATAGGGCAGGAGATCTTCGTGGTCTGCCCAACGACTCCAACTGCAGGCTGGCATTCCATACTAATCAGCGCTGCTGAATGAGAAGAAAACATGTTAAACAGAACTGCACCAAGAGTAAAATTCTAAGAATGATGAGCAAGCAAACTGATCAGACCAGTCTGAGACTGGTCTGGATATGGCCTAATAAATTTATGAGCAATGCAGGACTATACGCAGTGCAGGAGTATACGCAATGCAGGAAAATATGCAATGCAGGACTTTACATGCAGGCCTTAACACAATGCAGGACTATATGTGCTGGACTATACACAGTGCAGGACTACACTCAATGCAGGACTATACACAGTGCAGGACTATACGCAATGCAGGACTATACATAGTGCAAGACTATACCCAATGCAGGAATATACACAATGCAGGCTTATACACAGTGCAGGGCTATACACAGTGCAGGGCTATACACAGTGCAGGACTATACACAGTGCAGGGCTAAACACAGTGTAGGACTATACACAGTGCAGGGCTATATGCAGTGCAGGACTATACCCAATGCAGGAAAATACACAATGCAGGCTTACACACAGTGCAACACTATATGCAGTGCAGGACTATACACAGTGCAGGGCTATACACAGTGCAGGACTATACACAGTGCAGGGCTAAACGCAGTGCAGGACTATACCCAATGCAGGAATATACACAATACAGGCTTACACAAAGTGCAAAACTATACGCAGTGCAGGACTGTACACAGTGCAGGGCTATACGCAGTGCAGGACTATACATGATGCAGGACTATACATAGTGCAGGTCTGTACGCAGTGCAGGACTATACGCAGTGCAGGGCTATGCACAATGCAGAACTGTATGCAATGCAGTGTTGTTAGAGTTCAACATGAAAAAGAATGTGGATATTTTTTATTTTGCAAATCACAAAAGGATTCAGTTGTCAAGTCAAACAAAAACAGAAAGTGACTCTGAGCATGAATGCTGAACAGAGGGCATTTTCCACTCAGCCCTCAACCCTTACTGATGTGTCCCAAATAAACGAGATGAAATAAAGACCAACAAGGCCAACTCTCACCTGTAACGCTGATCCTGAATGTTCCGTCTTCTATAATGCCACGATTGGTTACAATAGTGTAATCATACAGGCCTTCATCAGAGACAGCAGTGTTACTGAGCAGGAAAGATGGATCATTTTTAGACAGAAGTTTAAATCGATCATCTCCGTAAACTGTATTATCTTTAAACCAGAACAGTGGTTCTGTTTCTCCTCTCTTAGTTACAGACACTGCAGAAATAATAATTTTCTGATCTGCTCCAAAATTCGTCTTGAAAGAGCAGGAGATCTTCGTGGTCCGCCCAACGACTCCAACTGCAGGCTGGCATTCCATACTGATCTGCGCTGCTGAATGAGAAGAAAACATGTTAAACAGAACTGCACCAAGAGTAAAATTCTAAGAATGATGAGCAAGCAAACTGATCAGACCAGTCTGAGACTGGTCTGGATATGGCCTAATAAATTTATGAGCAATGCAGGACTATACTCAGTGCAGGAGTATACGCATTGCAGGACAATATGCAATGCAGGACTATACATGCAGGCCTATACGCAATGCAGGACTATATGTGCTGGACTATACACAGTTCAGGACTACACGTAATGCAGGACTATACACAGTGCAGGGCTATACACAGTGCAGGGCTATACACAGTACAGGACTATACACAGTACAGGGCTATATGCAGTGCAGGACTATACACGATGCAGGACTAAACACGATGCAGGACTATACCCAATGCAGGACTATACACAGTGCAGAACTAAACACAGTGCAAGACTATACCCAATGCAGGAATATACACAATGCAGGCTAACACACAGTGCAAGACTATATGCAGTGCAGGACTATACACAGTGCAGGGCTATACACAGTGCAGGGCTATACACAGTGCAGGACTATACACAGTGCAGGGCTAAACGCAGTGCAGGACTATACGCAGTGCAGGCTTACACACAGTGCAAGACTATACGCAGTGCAGGACTATACACAGTGCAGGACTATACGCAGTGCAGGGCTATACACAGTGCAGGACTATACACAGTGCAGGGCCAAACGCAATGCAGGACTATACGCAATGCAGGAATATACACAATGCAGGCTTACACACAGTGTAAGACTATATGCAGTGCAGGACTATACACAGTGCAGGGCTATACACAGTGCAGGGCCAAACGCAGTGCAGGACTATACGCAATGCAGGAATATACACAATGCAGGCTTACACACAGTGCAAGACTATACGCAGTGCAGGACTATACACAGTTCAGGACTACACGTAATGCAGGACTATACACAGTGCAGGGCTATACACAGTGCAGGGCTATACACAGTACAGGACTATACACAGTACAGGGCTATATGCAGTGCAGGACTATACACGATGCAGGACTAAACACGATGCAGGACTATACCCAATGCAGGACTATACACAGTGCAGGACTAAACACAGTGCAAGACTATACCCAATGCAGGAATATACACAATACAGGCTTACACACAGTGCAAGACTATATGCAGTGCAGGACTATACACAGTGCAGGGCTATACACAGTGCAGGACTATACACAGTGCAGGGCTAAACGCAGTGCAGGACTATACGCAATGCAGGCTTACACACAGTGCAAGACTATACGCAGTGCAGGACTATACACAGTGCAGGACTATACACAGTGCAGGACTAAACACGAAGCAGGACTATACATAATGCAGGACTATACACAGTGCAGGACTATACACAGTGCAGGTCTATACGCAATGCAGAACTATACACAATGCAGAACTATACATAGTGCAGGACTATATGCAGTGCAGGGCTATACACAATGCAGAACTATACATAGTGCAGGGCTATACACAGTGCAGGGCTATACACAGTGCAGGGCCAAACGCAGTGCAGGACTATACGCAATGCAGGAATATACACAATGCAGGCTTACACACAGTGCAAGACTATACGCAGTGCAGGACTATACACATTTCAGGACTACACGTAATGCAGGACTATACACAGTGCAGGGCTATACACAGTGCAGGGCTATACACAGTACAGGACTATACACAGTACAGGGCTATATGCAGTGCAGGACTATACACGATGCAGGACTAAACACGATGCAGGACTATACCCAATGCAGGACTATACACAGTGCAGGACTAAACACAGTGCAAGACTATACCCAATGCAGGAATATACACAAGACAGGCTTACACACAGTGCAAGACTATATGCAGTGCAGGACTATACACAGTGCAGGGCTATACACAGTGCAGGACTATACACAGTGCAGGGCTAAACGCAGTGCAGGACTATACGCAATGCAGGCTTACACACAGTGCAAGACTATACACAGTGCAGGACTATACACAGTGCAGGGCTATACGCAGTGCAGGACTATACACAGTGCAGGACTATACACAGTGCAGGGCCAAACGCAGTGCAGGACTATACGCAATGCAGGCTTACACACAGTGCAAGACTATACGCAGTGCAGGGCTATACACAGTGCAGGACTATACACAGTGCAGGACTATACATAGTGCAGGACTATACACAGTGCAGAACTATACACAGTGCAGGTCTATACGCAATGCAGAACTATACATAGTGCAGGACTATACATAGTGCAGGACTATATGCAGTGCAGGGCTATACACAGTGCAGAACTGTATGCAATACAAAACTATACACAATGCAGGACTGTACATGATTCAGCACTATATACAATGCAGGACTTAACGCAACACAGGACTATACGCTGTGCAGAGCTATCTACCACAATCAAATTCCAGTTGTGATATTATTTACCGTAACACACAACCTCAGGTGTTTTATTACATAAGTAACATCACAGCCTGTCATATGTTTTCACATATAACAACACAGGCAGAACACTTATTAACCAATTAGATTCAATAGTTGGAACTAAATATTGTATAAAATGACTGAAGAAGTCAAGTGAGTGCAGAATAACATTTTGCTTCTTACATTTTGCTGATGTTCCAAAACATACAGATGTAAATATTACATAGAGGATCAGCAGAATCACTGAAGCCATGTTTCCCTAAGAGAGAAGTTAAGCACAGGTCATTAGAGTAATGTAGGGTTGAGGAAGATGTCAAAATAACACAATGCTTACTAAGGTATATCACTTTACAATTGAATTACATTTTCGCAATATGTAATACGTATTGAAATATTACCTTGAGTTTGATGAAGGTTTGATAAAGAGCAGACCCACTGGGTCAGCAAAAACACTAAGGTCACATTTACATAATGCTAGAGTACAATTATTATTTTTTATTTAGTGCTTTACACACTGTGCTTTACACATTTACGTTAAGCAGAGCTCAGACTCTCTCTGCTTCATCTGGATTTGAAAAAAATCTTGAAGAACTGCACTGCTTATTTCAAGAAATAATGCAGATAATTTTCCTTTTTTGCTCCAATGGAAAAAAGACAATTTTACTTGACAAATTTACTTAAAATGACAAAAATAAATCTAGTAATAAGTTAAATAATCTTACAATATTCTTACATCAGAATCAAAATGAAACAGATATTCTCATTTAAGATTTTGCCAATGGTATAATGTGAAGTGCAAAATAAAAATCAAGGGAAAGAGATGAAAAACACAGCTTGATCATTGTCTTGCATTAAATTTCAGAATTAATTTCCACCAATGACATGTTTTTCATGGCCTTTTACATAAGAAATGGATCCATAAAGAACAGCATGTGGAAATAATGTGCAGATAGAAACAGCAGCAAAGAACAGAACCTGCTTCGTTTATGATTATTCATCCTATAGTACTGTGTACAGTCAGAGAACACCCCTCATTTAATTCATTTCCAGTCAAAACTTCTATTAAGTACAAGTTATTCATTTTTCAGACTCAAAAAACATTCAGCGTATGGTGAATTTTCGCGTTGGTGAAGATTTTTAAAAGAACTTCGGATGACATAAAAAATACATAAATAAATAACCATATGGATCCTCAACCAAATCAGGCCTCACTTCTCACTTAAAGCCCAGATAACCAAATTGAAGCTCTTATTTTGGACACTTTCAAAGAAGAAACGGTTTATTGGAGAAGACCATTACGCTTAGAAGAGTTGAAGTGGTCGGTCCATTGTTCTGAGAACACCAGCAGCTCTTTTGTTTAACTCCTTAAAAATGCTAAGTCTCAAAATTTTTTTTACACACTTTTATAACCTGGCGTGCCTGGGTTTGATTCTCTAGCTGGGTGACCAGGGTCCTCTCTTTGTGAATCTTTGCATATTTTCCTCATGTTGGTTTCCTCTGGGTGCTCAAGTTTCCTTCCACAATCCAAGACATGATAAATTGGTAAAACATAGGTGTGAGTGTGTGTGTAAATGTATATGTCTGTGTGTATACATGTCCAGGGTTTTTCCTGCTTTCATTTTCACATTTTCATTATGTACTAGGAGATTAGTTGAAGTAGTTTATGTAAAAGTGGGTTATTTCCTTTTTTCAGAACTGCACCACTGTATTTCACAAACTATTTTACAGACTGTGCACAAACTGCGAGTTAATGAAAGTGTGCGTTAGCAATGTCTGCAGATTTGTGGCTGGTATGGCCGAATCAAAAACACAAATAAAGTCTAGGCATAAATTAAGAGGAAATAAATGAATAAATAAATAAATAACCCAAAAAAGAAAAAAAGAATTTACCCATAAGTGACTAAAAGCATGTTAAAATGTCAGTACTTACTGATGCACACTTGAACACACTTGAGCGAAGAGAGCCAGCACAGAGGTCACTGTTACACAGTTTCCGTTTGACTGAGCGCAGTTTTAATGTCAGTCTACGAAAGGAAAAAGTCTAACCACACTTCTGCTCTGCACACTCAGTGGTCTTCCTGCTTTAACATGTCTGGCTCAATACATAATGCATTTAAAGCCACTGGATTAAATGATGATGGTTGGGGCTATTTTAGGCATTCTTGGGCTCTAGGCTTACTCCAGATCAGTGGGACCCAAACTTTTTACAATCTTATACTAGGATTGGGTGATGTTTATCTAACTGGCATATGTCGATGTTAGTGTTAAGGCCCATTCACAAGTATAATTTTTTAGACCAAAAAAAAGGGTCTGAAGCATTTTTCTGTCTAAACCAGGGTTCGCAACCCAAATGTTAAGAAGAGCCACAACAAAATTCAAGCCATCTTGGGAGCCACAACATTTTATGTCCGTTTTACCATCTTGGCTATAAATATGTCTCAGTATGTGCTAATATGCTAATATAGAATAACAAAATGCAGTATAAACAAAAGCACAGACTTACTTTGCTCTGCTTTAAGCTTTAGCTCAGCTATAGCCACTTTTCTCACATCTTCCTGTTCTAATTTTTCTGTTCCACCTTAAATGGTGCAGCAGAAACATCTCTTGCCTGAGGCACCATTTAAGGTGGAACAGAAAAATTTGAACGAGACACTGGCAAACGAGAAGCTTCACGATTTTTTTAGTGTTTGACAGTTTCTCATTGCAGATTAAACGTATCAGGAAACCAGCTGGAGTGATTATAAACACAGATAAGTCCATTCATCTCTAAATTATCGATTGTTCGTCTTAAATCTTTCTCTGTGCTGTTTTGTTAGACGCTAGCTAGGCCAGTTTGTTGTCTCAATCCCTTAAAGCCAACTGTGTTAATAAGCTATGTGTGTGTGTGTGTGTGTGTGTGTATGTGTGCAGTTGGCTCCAGACGATGCGTGGAGGTGTCCTCACTGTAAGCAGCTGCAGCAGGGCATGCTGAAGCTGAGCCTCTGGACTCTGCCGGACATTCTCATTCTGCACCTGAAGCGATTCCGCCAGGTGGCTGACCGTAGGAACAAGCTCTCCACGTTGGTCAGATTCCCCATGAGTGGGCTGGACATGGCGCCCCATGTGGCGAAACGCAGTCACAGTGTGCGAAACCTCACCTCCTGGCCCCCGACATGGACACACGGAGACTTGGACTTTCTGTATGACCTCTATGCTGTGTGTAACCACCACGGAGGGATGCACGGTGGACACTACACAGGTATACATGCCTTAAAAGTAGTGATCTGGTCATCAGTGGCCAGCGCTAAGTGCAGGTGTAAATGAGGTTAGAGATACAAGCTGATCTGATCATTCAAACCACCTTCGGAGGTGGTCAGGGACGCATATGACCACATACCATTCAGAGTTTGAACGCTTAAACATCTCAATGCATCCTTGACAGCAATGAAGGACGGGTTTAATCAGCTGCGTCTTTACAGCAGAGACAAAAGCGGTTGTGTAGCTTCATTTTTCGCTTCCGCTACTATTTATTTACAAGTTGTATTAATTAACTTTCGTAAAATACAGAAAACATGGAGATACTCTTTCTGTTATTCTGCTTCGAAACCGAAGCTCAGTTTCGAAGCTCAGTTCACCTTCTATTAGACAGTCTAACTCAGAGCTCACTTTTAAGAAACATCTGGAAAGCAGAGGAGGGTAAAGTTCAGCAATCTCGCTGTTGGGCTTTAATTAAATTTAGGGCACAATATTCCTTCAAAGGGGGGGAAATGGGAAGGGTAGGTTGAATAGGAAATTTAGCTAGCTAGCTACTGAGACATTACCATACTGTTAGCGATAATACTATAATAGAGAAAATTCTCACATTTGTGGGTTACTTTGGTCACTTGTGCAGCCATCTTGCCAGTTTTTCTTTTTTTTTTTATAACACTCTGTTATCTATCTCAACAACAATCAGGACACCCTACCCCTGGATGTGAAGATGCAAAACGGTGGGCTAAGTGCTAAGTGGTGAAGGCAAGGGTTGAAATAGGATTGGGCCTAAGTCTCTTCCATTTAAATTATGATTAATATTATATTATTATTATTACTATTCAAGACACATGGTGATGGCAGGTATGAACAGCTGTATGTCTCTCTGACCACTTATAATCAGATCACTTGAAACAGAAGTGTGATTGGCTGATTCCTTTGTTACTTCGTAATTCGCGTTAGGTCTTCTCTTCAGCTCCTGAAGTCCTCGCCAATAGGAAAGCTCACTTAGCTGTGTCAACCTAGATACCACAGAGAAAAATAATTCCTGATTGGCCAATTTTATTCCATTTGTTTCCGTCCTAAACATTATAACCAATCAAGAGTAGTACTGTAATAGTTGCAGAGTTTAAAACCGTCAGAACATATCAGAGATTAAAAAAAAAAATCTAATTGATTAGCCAAGACATGTTTTGTGTCTCAAATTTGCTTCTTTAGTTTTAGTACTGCAGCCATGTTAGCATGGCGCTAACTGGACTGGTAGCAGATACCTCCAAGCATGATTTTTGTCCGTGCTTTTGTGCACTGTATAGACAACAGTGAATTATACAGTGTTAGAAACTACGTAATGAAATCTATATGAGATTACTGAACAGCTCCACACGTTTGAGGTGAGCGTGAGATGATTTAGGCATGTGGTTGGCGCCACGCTAATTGGCGGGGTGTAAGCTTCCATTACCTACATTAGCCTTGTAGCTCCAGCGCTAAAACTAAACTTTTCCTCTTGATCATCTTGATCCTAAATTGAGCTCAGCTGGTCCTGCCTAGAATTTTTATACCTGACACAGAGCATGCTAGGATGTTAAGTGCTTAACCAGATCATGCAGCACACCTGTGTGGAAGCATCTGCACTCGTTGTGTTTCTCCACTCATTTATTTAGGTTGTCACTCATCTGTTTTATAGCTTTGTTAATTTCTGAACAGTTTGCTTTAGAAAATAATGTTTCTTAATTAGTTTTTAGAGTTAAGAGTTTTTAAAACAAAGTTTGGCTCGTAATTGTGCTAAAGCATCTGTACAAAAACTGAACATTACCTTCTAATTAGAGACTCACGACTAAATTTGTCAGAATGAGCGTTAATGGTTTGCACACCCACAGAGGACACAGAGCTCAGAAGAAGCTCCAGCTTTGTAAACAGTGGCGATTTGTGTAGCTGATGCAGTGTGAATGCTTAATGAGCAGGTGAGATGGCCATTTGTTCGGAGACACTGTGGGCAGTGTGGGGCGTACATTATCTTTTAACAGTTTTGTTTGTAGAAACTTGAACTTAACAAAAGGACAGGAAATAAACTCCTTGTTTACTGGGTTGTAAACACGTCTCTAACAGACGGAGCTCAGTGAACAGATTTCTCCATCAAGCTGTTCAGAGGTTTAGTCAAACCAAGAAACACTTTGCTGTAAATTTGTTAAACCTTCTGTAGTCGGGCTCTAATTAGAAGACTGAAGTGTGTTAGGATGAGCGTGCACACTGGTGCATATGTAAGTAATCTATACGTCTGAACAGTGAGAGGAAACTTGTATTCAGTTTTGGGTTTGTACTGATACCCACTTCAAATTTACACATATACTGAGCCAGATTCATAAAACAAACATAAATTTACTGTGGCGTTAAGAGCACGTTGCGTAGCAGTAACATGACGAGGATTATAAATTAACCCCTCCTGTGTGTGAAGAGTAGGTTTAGTGCAACAAGTTTTAGACTTTAATCCTGTTTCTCAATTTACAATGGATTTTACACAGGAATTCAATGTATACATTGCATAAAATTCTACATTTTATTAGTGAAAATTTGTTTAAAAACTGAAATTTTACATTTTTAATTTGCGTTCGAAGCCGTTGTAAAATCCACAATATACTCACACCTATGACCACCTAACAGCAACTGAATTGTATATTACTACACCACAATAAAACCCTTGTGCTGTTGGAATAATGGAATAATCTTTGACTCTCATGCTGCTCACAGGAACTACAGAGTATATTGATGAAGTAAGAACCCATTTTTGTTCAAGAGAGCTTATTTTCTTAACTAGAACTAGGCTGCTCAGCTAGCCAACAGGCTAAATGGCAGAAGTAGCATCAAACCCAGGCTGAATCCCAGCTTTGTATTCCCTAAGTAGTGCGCTAGCTATGGAAGTTTAGAAGTTGTAGCCTCTACAGCCAAATAATGCATAATTTATGGAGTATGGATGTGACTGAGTCCCAAATGACAATTTTTTAGCTATATTTTGCACTGTTGTGCTGCAGGATCCCGTATTTAAATTCCTACGTAGTGCACAATGTAGGGAGCAGGGAGCCATTTTAGATTCAGCCCCAGCACAAGGGGGGCGCCGCTGGATTGGTGCTAAGTAAGACTTGCTGTGGTAATCTGGTGACCAAAAAGTACTTATAATGCAAATGTTTTTTCACTAAACAGTGCTGTGTTATCATATGTTCATTGTTATATGACAAAAATTTTAAAAGATTATGAAATGACCGCAGTATACAGCGACAGGCCAAATGTTCTCCTTATTCAGCGGTGCATGGTTGCTTGGCAATGATACTATAATCTAAAGAAACTAAATTTCTTGGTGGAATACTTCTTTATGTCGATTATTATTGATAATAACTTAAATTATTTCCTGAAAAATAGTTTATTTTATCATATTTTATGTTGGCAGCTGTTTTATAAAAGCCGCATGAGGCTCCATAAAACTGAAGCGGGGCAAAATACCCTCCAGTCCTTGCGCAAAGCTTGAGAAAAGCTGCGGTGGTGAAACTGCTCAGAAGAGTCTGAAAACAATAGGAATTTCCACAGTCCCCACAGTATACAGTATAGAGTCACTCAGCAAACCCGGAAAAAGTCCCTAGTCCCACTCCACAACTATGGTGCATCACGCAGGCTGCTGGCCCAGGAAGCCTCGATGGCTGAAAATGTCCTCAGCCATAGAGGGGTAGTGTTTTCCTGCAGCCGAACACCACCAGTCCAGGCAGCCTCATAGCTGCAGTGCAGCATCATCCACACGGCTGGCCCAGGCAGCCACGTAGCTGTGATGTAGGCTTGCTTAGGCAGTGAGCTAGAGCACTCAAGCAGCCAGCCCAGGCCACATCAAAGCTGCAACGCAGCATCACCTAAATGGCCCACCCAAAAAGCCTCCAAGCTACAGGTGGAAAATTGCTCTCAGTGGATATGATGGCAAACTTCTCAGCCATCTGGAAAACATCAAAACATACACACAAAAAACACAAAACAAACAAAAACTGATGCATACTTACAACTGAGCACACACACACACGGGCACACACACACACCGTCCAAAATGTACCACAGCTGTGGAAAAAGATTTGAAAACAAATCATCTTATGAATGTGTATTGATCCTAGAGCTGAATAGCTGGCAACCAAAGAAAACACAGGCACACAGAGTAGGACAAGGACAGAGGAGTGTGGCTCACTCAGTGGTAATGCTGACCATTCTAAACCTGAAGGAGGACAAACATGCATCTCAAAAAGAGATCTCTGTAAACAGACACTGATAGCTATTCATGAAAAGACTCATTTCACAAGGACAGTAAGAGCATTCGCAAGAGGTATGAGTTTATATATGATTTGTTAGATGTAGAGATTATTTTATAATTAATTTGTTGTGGTTTTTTACACTCTCTTTCGGACATTTATGTTTGTGTGCATTTTAAATCAGTTTCAGCTTCTGGTGGGTTTTAAGTTACACTCTGCAGGGTACAAGAGATGCAGCCGCTGTGTGTTAAATGTGTTCTTGAGAAAAAGTCTGTGAGGAAAAAGTCCACGTCAGATTCATGACATGTTCTTAAAGCGCAGAACTGTTCTCACCTTTGTGCTCTTGAGTGTGTGTAGATTCTGTTCTTACCTAAGAACAAATCCCAAATAAGAAATGTATATGGAACTGTGTGTGTGTGTGTGTGTGTGTGTGTGTGTTTGTGTGTAGCGTACTGTAGGAACTCAGTGGACGGTCAGTGGTACAGTTATGATGACAGCAGTGTGGATCTGGTTCCGGAGGAGGAGCTCTGTACGAAGGGAGCGTACATCCTGTTCTACCAGCGCAGGAACGCCATCCCGCCATGGTCCGCTAACAGCTCTGTCAGGGGTAAGAGCGAAACACAACACAGTTTTACATACAGTCATATCTCACAATAGCAATAATCAACAATAATCAGGGGGCTCCTGGGTAGCGCCACCCTCTAAGCTAGGGCTTCTCAACCTTTTCCACCTCAAGGCCCACCTGTTTATCATCCCACAGAAAAACAAAAACACAGCTATTTATATGATGCTTCAGTGAATATGAAATATTAACAGATTAGGCCAACATAAACATATTTATACCAGAAATAAGAAAAAATCATGGCAAATTAAGTAGATATTTTTACAACACTTTGGAGATGGGTCTAGTGTGTCTTTAGAGGCAAGAGGTAAAAAAAATTGACAAAGCTGCCTTTGTGCACCATTGTGGCAAGGTTTGTGTTAATACTGAAAACAGTATTCATTTTTTAATGTTATTCAATGTTATTATGTTGCTATTTTTCCATTGATTTTTATAACATCACCTGCCCTTTACGGCTCTCTGCCCCCTAGTATTAGTTTAAGGGCCACCAAAGGGTCCTTTGCAGCCCACTTGTGGTCCACAGCCCAGTGGTTGAGAAACTGTGCTTGGCCAATGGTCAGGCAATAAAAATTTTCGATCAAAAAATTCGATCCCTTTTGCAGGAGTCCAAGAGAACGTAATTGTCCCTCACCTCTCTCTGTTTTACTGGGAGGGTAGGATGATCCTCACTCTCCCCCATCTCTCAGAACTATGCTAGCCAATGCAGGCCTTTGTTAGCTACCGTAAAAAAAAAAAAGCACTGCACAAACATACAAGTTATGTACCGCTATGTTGCTGTATTATGTAGTTTCACTGCTGCTGTGTTGTATGCTATTATATTCAGTACAGTGCAGGTGGTGTGAGTTTATACCTAGAACATGCTGTTCAGTCTATTTTTGTCTGTCCCTACATGGTCACATCTGTCACACTTGTCACTTGTCATGTAAAGATTGGGCCTAACCTCGGCATCAGTAAAGCCTGTATAAGCGTGACAGCCGATGTTCAGCAGGCCGGCTAAATGTCTGGCACCTGTGCGCAAGAAATAACGATCGATACCCCAGACACAAGCCCACTCCCCTGGTTTGAGGAGGATTTGGATTCTGCAAATTACAGCGCACCACACAATCCCCGTGCTACCGTGGTTGGCCGACAGCTGCCGTGACAATCGAACCCTGCAGAATGAGACTCAACCAGGACTGTGTTTCCCAAAAGCGTTATTGAGGAAGCACCGTGGCGAACATGGAGAGAGAAATAATAACAATTATATATTGTTTTTCAGTAAAGAGGTCAAGAGACAAGAAAACAATGTAATAGAGGCTTTGTTTTTCATTTTGGTGCATATTCTGCATCACGTGTAATATCATGTGTGCATTGAACTACACATTTTTCCATTGTAGTGTCTGCTTTTCACAAATTCCCCAACTCTGGCAGAAGTTAGCTAGTAAGCTAGCATGCTATCTAAGTTAGCTGTCTAGCTGAAGAGCTGGTGATATCTCATATTAATAAATTGTTTCAGAGAACCAATCCACAAATCCATTATTTAAATATTACAAAATTGTATAATCTTGGATATATCACTCTTTCAGTGTTTGTTAGCTAGCTAACTAGCTAACTAACTAACATAGTTGGGAGTTTAGCTAACCTCATTCTTAAACTTAACCATTTTATTTTGAAGCAATATTTATAGCAGCTAACATGCACTGCAAAAAAATGATATCTTGACAAGTGAAATTTAATATCTAAGGAATATGTCCAATATTTCTCATTTTCAGATTGCTGTCAGTATATTGGAAGATTATTTTTAGATTTTTTTACTTGTTTAAGCAGCTTTATCTCACTATGCTGGCAGATAACCTTATGTATTTTAAGAAACGTGCTAGAAACAAGCAAAATTATCTGCCAATTAAAGTTTCAATTACTTAAAAATGTCTAAAATAAGTTGAATAATCTTAGAATAGACTTAAAGCAATTTGAAAATGAAGAAGTAGACATTCTTGCTGCAATATTTTTAGCAGTGTGGTTGGCGAAGTAACTAACTATAACCTTAACTGTTTTACCTAACGTTAATGTAATCTCAGACACGTCACGAAACAGCTCTGACATCACAATATTACACTATATTACATTAATCACATTACAGCATTACAGCAACACAACAGACACTTTAACCACTACTAAAGGTGCACTGCTATTAAATGCACATCGCTAAACACTACAGTATTCACCCATTAACTTTATCAGTTAATTCTAAAATTGATTAGGATGTTTAATTCATGTTAATGTTTGAATATTTCCATTTCTGTATTGTGATTGCAGGTTCGACCAGTTCATCTGTGTCAGATCACTGGCTCATCCGTCTGAATGGAGACAGTAAGAGAGGCAGTATGGTGTCCCGTGCGTCCACCGCTCTTCCCTCCATCCCTGACCCACCTGACTCACCTGTCTTCCAGGATGAAGCTCAGAAGGATGATCAGGGTAAGCTGCCCTTTCCCAAAACCTCAGGGATTTTCTGCTTTCAGAAAAGAGGGAGACAGAGCTAAGAATCCTTTATTTAAAATGTAGTGTAGGCTTGACAGTTATCTTTTAATTGAGCTTTTTATGTAGTTTTTATCTAGTCATCAACCAGAGCATGTCAGCAGTGTGGAGCGGGAGCAGAGCGACGTAATTTTGCACGAAGCACGGAGCGGCTTTTCAGAAAGTCGGAGCGTCAGTGTCCTCTCCTGCTCCAAAACAGCTCTGGTATCACTCCGTCCAGTGAGCACGACGCTCCTTTTATTCCATACTGACTGCCTCTGTGTGACACAAGTGATGCAGCAGTGACTTCACAGCTCACAAACAACAGCAGTTCATACACAGCGTCTGTGCTGAGCTGTTCAGCAGAACTACATACTGAAAACTCACACTGATCGCAACACAGATCTACAGACATCAAACACAGTCAGTCTCATGTCATCCATTTTGCTGCCAGAATGTTAAAGAAGGTGGTTTTCAAAGCACGTTTGTTTACCCTCAGCAGATTTCTGGCTTGTGATTGGGCCGTCGCTTCCAGGCTAAACCTTACAAAAAAAGCTTGTGTAGCACAGAATGTTTAACCAGTTTTTCGTTCATTAATTTCCATAATTTATATAATTTATGAAATAAAGAATATGAATAAAGTGTATAATATCTTGCCCATACATTCAAGACATAAAATATCTCAAGAATGTATCAGGTGGAGTGGGTGCAGAGCGGAGCAATTTCACTGATGTGAACGAGGAGTGAAAAATAGAAAATCCAGAGCGGAGCTGATTACAGCAAGTAGAGAAAATGTCTGCTGTTCTGCTCCACTCACACACTGGTCATCAACATAAAGTTGCCTGTAGTGAACTATTAAACAGCAGTGTGGCCCTGCAAATGCAATTACAGTGAAAATCCCTTGTAGTTTACATGCACACTGCAAAAAATGATATCTTGTCAAGTATAATTATCTTAAATATAATCAATAAATCTAATATTTCTCCTGTTGAGATTGTTGTAAGCTTAATTTAAGATTATTTACCATATTTCTAGACTTTTTGTACTTATTTAAAGTCATTTAAATATAATATTGCCAGATTATATTGCTTGTGTTAAGAAATGTGCTTGAAACCAGCAAAGTTATCTGCCAGTATATTAGATACATCATAGATTTAAGATCATTTCACTTGACAAGATGCCATTTTTTGCAGTAAACAGCAAAAACAACTATTCGCAAATATATCAGCTTCATAGCTACTGTAAACATTTTCCTTAATTTTAGCAGCTGATGTATCTCTGAATTTACTGTTAACAGAAAGGTATCATTTTTCACATTTACAGTTTATTGCTGTTGCTTTACAGAATGATTTCAGCATTTTCATTATTATAGTTACACAGTACAGAGAAAATGATGTAGAACTTTGATGCAGAAATGTTTTACCGTGTAGGGTCTCTGTCTTTCAGTCTCATTAGGAGGTTTTGAGAGGAGGCCGTTTATCAGAGGGCTGCAGGGACGCAGTGTAAGCATGAGAAGCCCCGCCAAACCAAAAGAGAACACGAGTAAGTTGTTTCCACTCAGATGGTCCTTCGGCTCCAAAGATAAACGCAAACCTGCCCCTGCCCCTACCGCCCCAGATGGTTCTACTGCCCCAGGTGCCCCTTCTGGCCAAGACACTCCTACTGCCCCAACTGCCTCTACTACCCCGACTGCCTCTGCTGCCCCGACTGCCTCGAACGCTCCAGCCCAGCTAGTGGAGTACCTGGAGTCTGGTAGGAGACCTCGGATCACCATTGACCCCATTGCTGCTTTGGTGAACTCATCCTCCAAGAAGGAACCCCTAAGGTACCAAAAAGCTCCAGAAGGTCAAAAAGCTCCAGAGGGCCAAAAAACCCCAGAGGGTCAAAAAGGTCCCAACGACTCCCCACGGGTGGCTGAGGGACAGCAACGGCCAGAGTCCAAAACCGTGACAGGACAGAGAACTGGGCAGAAAGAGGATGGTACCCTGAGCCGAAGGAGCACCAGGAGGTCCAAACAGGATCAAGCAAAATCCGAAAACCCCCAGAACCAGAGGAGCTCCAGCATGGGCATCCCAGGTGCAGGAGGGTCCCTCCTGAGGAAAAGCAGGACAACAACAGGAGACACGCTGCTGCTGGAAGAGTTGGAAAGCAGAAGAGGTGACGCCAGGCCTCAGGATGGCATCATGGCCTTCCTGAAGGGCGGCTTCCTGAAGAGAGACCCACAACGAGGATCTGGCCAGGATGAACTGGTAGAGGATGGCGGGCCTGGTGAAAGAAGCACTTCCCGACTTTCCCTGCCTTCCAGGAGTTATGGCACGGCTTCAAGTGGGATGACCAATGGCTTCAGGACACAACTGGGAGACGAGGTGGCCAACGGCCGACCAGTTGATATCAAACGTTCACAAAGCTCCTCCAGCATCCCTCGCAGGACCGGAGGGAACCTGCAGAGGGCAATGTCTCTGCAGAGGAATGGCATGCCTGGGGTCCCGAGGAACTCCACTGGAGAGAAGAACCCACATGGAACTCTGCAGAGAACACAAAACCGATACAGCAGCAGCTCCACACTGGGCAGGAGGAGAGCCGTGCCTGAGTCCAGCTTCTAGGACAGGAACCAAACACAGGGACACCAAACAGAATCAAAAGTTTTACAGGAGGTTGCTAGTTCAAATCCCAGCGATGCCTTGTTGACGGCCTTGTTTCTTTCTTCCACTGTTGTTAACTGCAGTGCTGGGCACTTTCTAGCATTGCATCTCCTTGGAGATGTATTAGATGACGCGAGACTTGAACTAAAGGTACGTTTCTCAGACTACAACCCTGATTAGTGGGCGAAGGACAGGTCTTCCTGCACCAGGATTTGGAACCAGTGCTGTAGCTAATGTGAGCAACTTTGGGGAAAATCTAATATGAAAATCCTCAGCAGAGCACACACGACATCACTACCCAAAAAATAAACATCTAAAAACCTCCAAAGAACCAGCAGCATTCCAGAAGAGCGGAGGCACAGCTGTGTTTCCCTCCGTTTTGGCCCAATTACCAGAAAACTCGAAGGTGTTCAGAATTTTTGTGTTTTTTTTAGCTTCATGCCCAGAGGGCATAAATAATAGAGTAAGCTTTCAATTTATGTAAATCAAGGCAGTTAAAAATGGAGATGGTAGAGTTTTTATAGAGCTGAGAAAACAAAGTGTTGCTATTGCAGGTAGCTGGAATCGCAGTGCTGTATTACACACCTGCAGTAGTGCTGAACAACTGACAACAGAGTTATAACAATAGAGTGAATATCTCTCTATTTATTGGTGCAGTTCTTATCAAGTGCCTCTCAGTAACTGAGACGGAGCTGTGCTGGGTAGCAATGGACTACATGTAATCTGGATTATGACAATCAAGTACTTTTAATCAGAGAAGAACACTTTTAAAAATAGACGTAATCAGATTACTATTACTTTTTGTAAGATTTACACTGCAAAAAATGATATATTAACAAATCATCTTAAATATAGTCTAAATATCTAATATTTCTCATTTTGAGATGGTTGCATGAATATTATACAATTATAAACTTCTTTCTAGATGTTTTTACTTGTTTAATGTAATTTTATCAAGTACATTTATCTCAATATATTGGCAGATATTTTATCAAAATTATCTGCCACTATAGTGAAATAATTTTGCTTAATAACATTACTCAAAACAAGTAAGAAACGTCTAGACATAAGTTAAATAATCTTATTAGAAGTTTACAACGAGTTTTACAAAAATGAGTATTATTAGATATATTGACTAGATTGAAGACAATTTTACTTGCCAATAAACCATTTTTGCAGTGTATTAAATTCTTTAATTAATTAGACAATCTCTATAATCATCTGTTAATTCTTAATATACTGAGCGTTGCCATATAAACTGCCTAGTAACTAGGTTACTGTGACTTATGATGCAAAATTGGGACAGACAAGATCTGCATTTGACTACTGGATTTATTAAAGGAGGAGCAGGAGGAAAACAGAGGATCAGAAGTAGTTCTGAAGTAATCAGTTCTTTAAATGATATAAAAATTACATTGCATTTTTATTAATGTAATTTGCAATTAGTCCTGGCTTACATTCCATCCATCAAATTGCTCCATAACTCAGTGTGTGAGATGTAATCAGAGTGATTCAGAGTGGTTTGGTGTGAAATGGTTCAGATGTCTTTACAGTGGTGGTGATGGGAACCAGGGGTCGCCATGACTACAACACAAATATAGACATTTTATTTACTATCCAACACCTGTAGTGAACCTACACGTGTCTTCTGAGTTTTATATGGAATGTTGATGATGGGGAAAAAAATGGAAAATCTGAAATAATAAGTTTTCTTTGGGGACTATTTTGCCTCACCACACCCTGCATATTGTGTATCTTCTCAAAACTATAGTAAAACAGTGTCTCAGTCATCAGGCAGTGTATTCATAACCATTTCACATAATCACTTTCTGTGAAGGAGCTTTTAGAGGTGGATGTCTGGTTCCTATCACCACCACTGTGAACAATTCTGACTGGGTAAGTTTCTCTAGAACGGAACGTTTCACACCAAACCACTCTGAATGACTTTGTTTACATCTTAACTGCTTAATTATGCAAATCTTTTTGCAAGATCAGTGGAATTCCTCATGAAGTAATCTACCCAAAGCTGTTTATTATTAATACATTAGTGATATTCACAGCTTTAGTTCTGAAATGTTTATATGTTTACAAATAAGTTCATTAATTTGGAAGTTAGATCTTGAGATGTGAGTGGTGTATGAAGAGTTTGCACTGTCTAATAGCTGCTAGATCCTCACAGCGTTTCAGTTTGGGTTCTCTTGAACTTCCTCGCACTGATCGAGCAGTAAAACAGGAGTGTTAGGATCAGGCAGATGATGAAGTCAAAGCCTTGGAAACTCTAGATATGCAGAATCTGAGCTGTTTTGACCAGAGACTCCTGTGTGAAGCCATGTGAGAGGAAGTGCTCACAATTTAAAGAAGCAATAAACACTGAACCCTCTCTGATATATGCTAGAATATAAGCCATGTAATCAATACTCTAATCAATCACTTACTTTAGCTATGAATGCAATAATGATGTAGAAAGAGACTCCAAGATGTGAAGATTTCCAGATGATCTGTAGTTCAATGATGTTACTTTTTTCCTTTTAATGTCCTTTTAGTTAGCATTATGCAAATCATGTCATGCTAGCTGGCCTCTGTTCATTGTTAGCCAGATTAGCATGTTTGGATCTGCTAAACCTCGAGCTTTACTGTTTGATTCCCTGTTTATTTGATTAGTATTTCAACCACTCCACATACACTCTGAAAAAAGATGGTTCTTCAAGGGCTTGTTAGTAAAGAAAATGGTTCTATATAGAACCATGAACATTTAAAGAACCATTTGCATGCTTAAATGGTTCTCCACATGGTAAAATGGTTCTTCCGATTGGTAGAGACTGTGTTATTTTTTAAAAGAGGTCTATATATTGGTCTATATAGCACCAGAAAGGGTTATCCTATTACAACGTCAAACTGGTAACAGTTTTTTTTTTTTAAAAAGTTCTGTATAGAATTATAATCTCTATCAATCTGAAGAACGCTTCCACCATGTAAAGAACCCTTTAATAATGCAAATGGTTCTTTGAGTGTTCATGGTTCTATATAGAACCATTTTTTTTACTAACGAGCCCTTGAAGAGCCATCTTATTTAAGTGTGTACAGCAGGCACTTTAGTCTCCATCTGTTTTAATGCTTTGGGTTAATTTTATTTATTGTTATTGTAATTTTTCCTGATGCAATCACCTTGATAAATGTAAATGGATTATTTTACACTGACTCGCTCTCACCAAAAATGTTTTTTTGCTCTTTATGGAACTGTTAGATCGAAGACTAGAGCCTGACCGATGAGAAGATTTTGTGGTCGATATTGATTCCACTTTTTGGAGCTCAAAAATTCCACTAACCAATAAAATTGGCTGTTATAATTTTATATTTTAGGTTTTATATATGATTGTATGACAATCTGGCATCATACACACTCAAAAAAGGCGGTTCTTCAAGGGTTCTTTAGTAAAAACGGTTGTTCTATATGAAACCATGCTTAAATGGTTCTTTGCATGGTGAAATGGTTCTTGATTGATGGAGAATGTGCTATAGATGGTTTTACCAGTTCAGCCTAAAGTTATTCATGTTGGGCTGTCCAGTGGCATGACTAGTGTAATTTAACCTCTTTAATTGGGACCTAATTACCATAATTAATTATTGCTGCATATCGATAAAAGCACAATATAATCGGCTAACCACCTTATCGGTCCGGCTCTCCGTTTTCATACAAACTGAGAAGCCACTCTGAGCCGAGATGAAGGTGATGTTTTTACTGTAATGTGAATAGTTTGAAAACTGGTTAATGTGGCTGTGATTGACACAGACACTGATGATAACTTTTGAAATGATGCTGTTATGCAGGATTTGCTGTGAGTTGCATGTAGATCACAGATTTAATGAAGTCTATTAGATGTAACCCCACATCAGATATTATATTTATAGTTAAACACATGAAGCACAGATACATTTTCTTTTTAAAAATAGTCCTAAAGCTGCCAGGATGAGTTTTATTCAGAACAGTATTTGTAGCTCAGCCAGCTCCATCAGGAAACATGTGTCTGGGGAACTAAAGGGCATTTTTTTTTTTAGATAATTTTTTGCTTTTGTGCATTAAATCACAAGTACCTTTATCAATGTTTACTAAACAAAGCACTTCTATTTATGGGTACATATGAAGGAATTATTTTCAGTTTGTTTTCTTGGAATTGGTTCTTTTATATACAACTTTTATATGCATTTTTTAATCGTCTTTGTAAATAAACAAAAAAAGAATTATAGAAAAATTAATATTGTATTCATAATCTATATACTGAGGCCAAAATATACGTATATTTTAGAGGTGGGCGATATGGAAAAAATAAAATATCATGATACTTAAAGAAATTTTCACGATACACAGTATGTCACAATATTTATTTTTTCAGACATTTGATCAGAGAAATAGAGTCAGTAGTGCTACATTTGAAAAAATGCTATCAAAAACTGTGAAAAACTGTTATTCAATATTTCAATTCCATTGAAAAACAAACTATAAAAATATAAAAAAATAAAAATAGAGAACTAAAATAATGTGCTTGCATAAATATGCACACCCTTAAACTAATACTTTGACTTTATGACAGCATTCAGTCTTTTTGGGTAGGAGTCTATCAGCATGGCACATCTTGACTTGGCAATCTTTGCCCACTCTTCCTTGTAAAAGCGCTCCAAATCTGTCAGATTGTGAGGGCATCTCTTCAGGTCTACCCACAGATTTTCAGTGGGATTCAGGTCTGGGCTCTGGCTGGGCCAAAACTTTGATCTTCTTCTGGCGATGCCATTCTTTTGTTGATTTGAAGGTATGCTTTGGGTCATTGTTGTGCTGAAAGGTGAAATTCCTCTTCATCTTCAGCTTTTTAGCAGAGGCCTGAAGGTTTTGTGCCAAAATTGACTGATATTTGGAACTGTTCATAAATACCTCCACCTTGATTAAAGCCCCAGTTCCAGCTGCAGAAAAACAACCCCAAAGCATAATGCAGCCTCCACCATGCTTCACTGTGGGTATGGTGTTCTTTTGGTGATGTGCATTGTTGGCTTTGCGACAAACGTACCTTTTGGAATGATGGCCAAAAAGTTCAACCTTGGTCTCATCAGACCATAACATGTTTTCCCACATCCTTTGGCAGACTTGATGTAGGTTTTGGCAAAACATAGCCAGGCTTGGATGTTTTTCTTTGTTAGAAAAGGCTTCCGTCTTGCCACCCT